ACTGGGCAAAGGAGTCTTGGATGTCCAGAAGTTCCTTGTCGTAGATCTCGTAGTTGATCTCTTCGGCCGTGAATTTGCAAGAGTGGAAGGCCACGGGGTGGAGCTGATTGTCCTGGTCAGGTTGGAGGAGAATTGCGCCAAGAGCGAAGTCGGAGGCGTCAGTTTCGACGACGAAGGGCTTCTCTGGGTCAGGGTGAGCAAGGCTGGGGGCGGTGGTGAATGCTTTCTTCAGGTTCTCAAAGGCGGTGTTTGCGGCGGGTGTCCGGGCGTACGGGATGTCTTTCCGGGTCAGGGCTGTGAGCGGGGCAGCGATCTTGGAATAACCTTGGATGAATCGGCGATAGAAGTTGGCAAAGCCGAGGAACCGCTGGACGCCTTTGTCAGTCTTGGGAGGTTCCCAATCCGTGATGGCAGCGATCTTCTTGGGGTCCATCTGGATGCCTTTCTCGGAGATGATGAAGCCTAGGAACTCAACGGATTCGCGATTGAATTTGCACTTCTCGGGTTTGGCGTACAACCCATGCTGTCGGAGGCGGGACAAGACTTTGCGGACATGTCTGGGGTGATCTTCGGGGTTCTTGGAGAATATCAGGATATTGTCGAGGTAGACGACAACAAACACATCGAGAATGTTGCAGAAGATGTCGTTCATCAGGTATTGGAAGACGCCAGGAGCATTGCTGAGTCCAAAGGGCATGACATTGTATTCGAATAGGCCGTAGCGGCAGCGGAAGGCTGTCTTCCATTCATCGCCCGGGCGCATGCGTAAGAGGTTATAAGCGCCGCGGAGGTCAATCTTGGTGAGACGGCGGGCGCCGCGCAAACGATCCATGATACCGTTGATCAGGGGCAGGGGGTAGCGATTCTTCACAGTGATGCTGTTCAGGCCTCGATAATCCATGCAGAGGCGGAGAGAACCGTCCTTTTTCTTCACGAATAAGACTGGCGCACCGGCAGGGGACTTTGAGGGTTTGATGAATCCTTTGGCGAGGTTTTCTTCGAGGTATTCGCAGAGTGCCTTCATTTCTGGTTTGCTGAGGCTGTACATCGGGCCGAAAGGTGGCTGCTTGCCTTCTTCCAGATCAATTGGACAGTCGTAGGGCCGGTGCTCGGGGAGAGTGTCAGCATTTCTTTTTTCGAGAACGTCGGCAAAGTCTTGATACTCGGGGGGCAGGAAGTCTTTGATGTCTTTCTCGGGTGTCGGGGGGTTACTGGGGCTAGGCGAGGCCGGGGGATCGGGTTTCGCAGGGTTGGCGTAGGCGACAAAGACCTGGTCATGCCTTGCTGCGCCCCGAAAGGCTGGGGCGGAGATGAACGAGACTCGGAGCGGCGTGGGAGCCGATTCTGGGGTGCTGGAGCGAGATACCTTGGGTACTGGAATCGACCATGTTTCGTCGACGGGGACTTCATCCTGGGGGATACGGATCAAGGGCTCGGGGGTTCTGGCGGGTGCTGGGCTCGGGGGTGCTGGGGAGTTGTCCCAATTCGCGAATTCATGGTACTGGCAGTCGCAACGGAAACCGACCGAAAGGTTCTTGAAGTCAAGGTTAACGTCGTGGAGGCGGAGCCAGGGGAGACCAAGGAGGATTGGAGCATGGGGTGATTTGGTGACATGGAAGACGAGTTCTTCGAAGTGGTCGTCGACCCACATGCCTACTGGTTGGGTGTGATGGGTGATTGGCCCAGCAGAGCTGGGTTGACCGTCAACGAGTTCGATCGTCAGTGGACGCTGATGCGGGACTAGGGCGGTGCGGTGTTTGCGGGCAAAGTCTCTGTCGATGAAGCAGGACAGGGCACCGTTGTCGATCATGGCTGAGGTAGGTATCGGGGCGCGGCTGGATGATACCATGATGGTAACGGGGTAGTTGAAGGGTTTGACGGGACCCAGCACAAGCATGGCGCGGGGGTTAATTTCGGAGTTTTCGACATGGGCAGCGGCTAGGAGGGTTGTGTCGGCTATAACGGAGTCGGGAACCAGGGGGGTGGCCTCTCTTGTTGCAGGAGCTGCGAGGTTAGGAGGCCCGGGGCGGTGTGTGTTGTCCAGTCGCTGGGGCTTTACTGCGGCTGGACTTTGGGAAAACCCTGTTCGGTGGAGGGTTCTTTGATGTCGACGTTGGCGGCACGGGTGGTGGTCTTGTTCTTGACGGGGCAGACTTTTGCAATGTGCCCCGCGCCACCCCAGTAAAGCCAGAGGTTGTTGGAAATGCGGCGTTGGCGTTCCTGAAGGCTCAGAGGGCCGCGGGGACGAGCGGCGTCAATCTGCATAGGCTCGCTGTGGTCGACAGTGGTGGTAGTAGTAAACGAGGTGTGGGGAACCGGGAAGGTCTGGCGGCTTCTGTTTCGCTGCAGGCGGCGCTCAAACAGCCGGTTATCGCACTGGATAGCCTGCTCCATCACCACATCAATGGTGGCCGCAGGGGGCATTGTGAGCATCAGGTCTTTGACGTCTTCTTTGAGGCCACGGCGGAAGGTAGCAATCAGGGCCTGGTCATTCCAGGAGACATCGCATTGTAGCTGGCGGAACTCAGCAACGTACTCGGTTGCTGCACGGGTTTGGCGAAGGTTCTGGAGCTTGTTTTCAGAGGTGCGGACCCTGTCGCTGTCTCCGAAGACCGATTGCATCTGACTGATAAAACTATTGAAGTCCTGAAGGCTGTAATCTTGGCGTTCGACTAGGGGCGCCATCCAGGCTTGCGCAGTGCCGGTGAGGTAGGTGCCAATAGTTTGGATCTTGATGATGTCGCTGGGGTAGCGGTCAGGCTGGTGAGCAAGCATCAACCGGATGTTGTTCAACCACCCACAGAATTTGCTGCGGGTACCATCAAACTTCTCGGGCGAGCTGATTCTTGGCTCCAGAGCTCCAGGAGCCGGGTTGGTGACTTGACGACGGGCGTACGCATCGGCTTGAACCTGGGTGGCAATGTTCTGGGCAGCTTGTGCGTCGGCTTGCGCTTGCGCTAGGTTGGCCTGCAAGTTGGCGTTTTGGCTTTGCAAGGCGGCGATGGCTTGGCACATATCATTCCATTGTTCGGCGGTGAAAGGTACGGATCCGGATTGGGACATGGTGAAAAGGTTTGGCAGATGCAGGGCTTGACGGGTTCTGAACATCGCAGTGTTGGAGCAGATCAAACTGTTATGATCTCAACGACTGAGGCGGAAGCAAAGTAGAGAAGACAAGGCGAGAGCGATGGGCGACAAGAGATTGTATTGGCAAAACAAGAGACAAGGACTAGAACAAGAGACGAGAAGAACTGGTGTTGATCTGCTGGGGAGGAAGGGAATGGACGAAGAGAGGCCGGCTATTTATAGATAGGCAACCCAGCAGATCAGAGAACAACAACAACAAGAGGGGCTGGGGGGCGCCAGCTATGCTCCTAGAGCGTGCGTGGCGAGCGTAGAGAGCATTGCTACAGCTGCTGGCTATGGGGAAGCAGTGGGGGGTGTGGAGAAGCCGAGGGGGGATTGGCGAAATGAGAGGAGAGAGGAGGAGTGGCGATATTGCAAGAGGATTGGCAAAATGAGAGGAGAGAGGGGGAGTGGCATTGACATTGACATTGACACTGACATTGACACTGACATTGACATTGACATTGGCGTTTGACATCTGACGGTTGACATTGGCGGCTGTCAGTAGGTAAGCTTATGGTATGGGCGCGTCGTCCATAACATCATCTGAGAAACGCTTGATACGATCCTGGGCTTCTCCGGTCCGTTGGGCAAGGGAGATCTTGAGCTGTTCGTGGATGGTCTTTGCAAGGTCATCAGTGGTGTAGGCAACTTTGATCTTTTCGAGGATTGCAGAATCAAGGGGAGTGAGGAATGCAGCGGCAACGCAGCGGCAGCAGGAATGCAGCGGCAATGCTGGAGCCTGAGCCTTGGAGCCTGAGGCTGGCGTAGGGGGTTTCGCAACCTCTTTGGCAGGTTTTGCAGCTGCAGCTTGCTTTGGTCCTGCCGTCGTTGCCGTCTTTGCGTCTGCAGGGGCAGCCGGTTCGACAGGTATTCCAAATCGCTTTGCCCTAGCTATCTGCTGCTCTTCTTCCGTCATTGCAGCCTGCCAAAGATAGGAGGATGTTGAGCGCAATGAATACTTTCATGATTACACCTTGGGGCAATCTTCCACAGACTTACCTTATCACCAGCAGGTGGTGTGTGTTGTGTCGGGGATATCTCATATTTGCGGTTGCTGCACTTCCCGAAATTCCGCTGTGGATGAAAAGCCCTAACCCTAAACCCCAACCCTAACCCTAAGGAAAAGCCTGCAAAACGAGGTGGTTTACCCCTTTCTCTATAGACAACGCAGCATAGACTACTAGTACAACCTGACCTTTGTCGGCTACTGCCGATCTAGTAGGTTATGAGCCCTGGTTGCAAAGTTGAAGAAATCTACGGTTCAGAATCATACGAAGATAAGGAGTAGTGGAACAATTGCCTTTGGTGGTTAAGCTGGATGGGTTGTATGCGGATTTGTGTCGGCAGCAACATGTATGATGTGGGGGTGGAGGAAGGGGGTTGCCAGCTCTTGGACAACATCCGGTGGATGCATATACTGCGGGCAGTTTCCCCTCCTACATGCTTTTTCAAAAGCTCAAATGGAATATAGCTTGCAAGTTGTGTCAGGCTTTCCGTATTTGAGGCTGGAGATTGTAGCAGAGGTTATGAAAAAGCGGTAGTTGTACGGAACAGAAACGCTGTGCGCATTGTAGCTTCCTCCCTACTCTAATAGGGCATTCTCAACCCCAACTACCATGTATGACCCATCCAGAATCTCATTCTACTCATTTAACGACCGATGACACAAGGAGTCCACACTTCCTTTGATCGGGGTTTCTAATCTGCAATCTATCGCTACTGAGTTCGCCTAACTAAAAGCAGTCAGGGATCTGCCTCCGGAAGATGCGGGTTGCATTTTTTGCCGCGCTCTGTCCACAGTGGGTCAACTCCCAATGCTGAAGTAAGGCGGACAACACCTTGAACCGCCGTCCGCAATTGATGCAGGGATAATGATCTGGCTCGTGGGTGATCAAATGTTCGTTGAGTTGGCTGAGTTGCGGAAAGGACCTGTTACAAACGCAGCAAGCATAACCCAAGCCGTTCCAACTTCTGCTGGTGGCTTTCTCCGGAAGGGAAGGATGATCTCCGTAAGTTATTCGAGGCTGGAGAATGGTACCAGGGAGTCCCGTAGCACGCTCGCGTACACGGACGATGTTCTTGATTTGTTTGCGGGTCATTGGCATGACCTCGCAATTGCCGGATTCGACGTGTTACGTCAGACCCAAGAAGGTCCGGAATGATTCCCCACAGTAGTTGCAATCCACCGTCCGCTGCGTATGAATTCCCGAGTTTACGTGCTGGTCGAAGTCTTGCTCTCGGCGGAAGGTGCGGCCGCAATCGGCACAGCTGGGATGCTCTTCTTCGATGTGACGGGCGAGGGCATCGTTGTCTTGGCAGACGTTGTTGCAGTATTCGCAGGTAGAATGATATTGATGGAGGTGGTCGGAGTAGTCACTGTCGCTCCAGAAGTACTCCTTGCACCAGGCGCATTTGACATGCACGGCGCGCGAGTGTTGATGCAATGACTAGGGGGTCGAGAACACCCTGGCGCAATCAGTGCAAGGGAAGTGGGTCGCCCACTCATGCTGGTAGAGAGAGCTGCTCGTATGGAAGCACCTGTCGCAGATGGCACAGTCGTAATACATGGCGCCCAAGGCTCAGGCAATGGTTTCCGTTCCAGTTCCGTTGGCTGTAAGGTAAGCCAGGAAAAGCGCAAGGCAGCGTCGACGCTTTCCTGCAGCGGACTGCCCGCAAGGTCAAGGAAACGGTGTGTTGTATACTGTATATGTACTGTATATGCCAAGGAAGAAGGAAGAGCAGAATGCGTTTTGGACAGCGCCTCGATGACTTTTGACTTGGAGCGGACGGCAATGGCATCCACGCGTGTCAACGGCATATCCGGAGCATCCGGACGAGACAAGACGGCAGCCTCACCGCACGACATCGGCGTTGGCCCCATTACGCCTCATTGCCCCTCAGCCACTCGACGGGCACCGCGAGCATCCAGCTCATATGCTCTCTCGCCCCGCTCGCTCATCCGGAGCAACTCCGACAGTGGACTTCCATACCCAATTTCAAAAACCGGGAATAACGCGAGGACGGTGTTCTTAAAGGTTTGGTAACTTTGCTGTGCTGCTACATTCACCTTCTTGTTGGTTGGAATCCAACCGCCTTAAAGGGCGCTTTCTTCATTCGTCCAGCCATCGCTATCATGCCGAGCGTGAAGTCCATCCTCGAAACAGCGCGCTCTAGCGCAACAAGCATGCATTGGGGATGTCCTAATGGACGTAAATGCTCGTGCCATTTAAAAAAAGGAGTTCTGAAGGCAAAAGAAATGTTCATGAGAATATACCAGTAAACAATGTAACGCATCTAAATGGCACGCAACGTAGTGTGCTTCCTTGATATTTTGAAAGATGTATATGGATCAGTTTGTAATGGAACTATGGTACATGGGAAGAGGGAAAATACGACGTGTTATTTCTGTGATCTTACCTTGCGGAGCGTTGGACCGTGAGGAATACTGCTATGCGCACTACATCGCGTCTATTCAGAGTTAAAGCCGCGATGCTACATTCGCCATGCATTGCTCTCAGAGTGCTCCATCCTCAACCCATCGTTGGGACTTGGGATTTCAACTCTGAGGTGCTTGAGAGAATGACGCTGCGCGAGGAGCAGAGGATGCTGGTGCAGATCCAGCAGGTAACAAATGTACATCGCATAGTCGGACGGTCTCAAACTAATGTTGCCCTCCTGGCAGATTGCAGAGGCCACTCAAGCCTGCCTCGCATATCAATACTTTGATAAGGTATGCTTGTTCCAGAATCATAGAACGTGGAATTGCGTTCGCGCTGAAGGAAGCCGTCTGTTTTCAGCGAGTCGTAATCAACACAGACAACGCCGATACCGTGCAAGAAGTTTTGGAAAGGCTCTCCGCAATGGAGAAATTCGTACACGACAACGTTGTATGTCTGAGCTTGGTTTGAGACTAAGATACCATTCCTGCATACACTTATTCATTCTCCCACCGTCCAGATCAATCTTCCAGTCCCAGTCGTTTCTTGAGATGTCGTCCTCGTCAGTTTGCATCAGGATTGGCGTATGCAGCAACCTATTGGAATCAAAGCCTTCGGCGCGCTGGCCACTGCATGCTTTTGCCACCTCGCTTCTTGCCCTGCACATAGTGTAAATATGTAGCTGATTTAAATACCTTTGCCTTCGATTCTGGTTGCGGAGAGACCTGTGGGCGATGAATTGACAGCATGCCGCTTGGCGGAGCGTGACGTGGGCTTGTGCCATCTCAACCTCCTGCTGTCCTTCCACTGTCAATTGCAAGCCCCACCAGTGCCACCACCGCCCTTCCCGTTCATCTCTTTCGCAAACGTTTGTTCTTATTTGACCTGTATGCATAGACGAGAGCCACACAAATTCAAGAAACTCTATGCGGAACTTGCCGATGAGAACTCGAAACCGCCTAGTATAAGAGGGAGTAATAGGGGGGAAACGAGGACACTGCCTCCTACTTTCTCCTTCATGTTGCAATCCCCGCTCCTTTTGGTGTAAAGCCATTGGTGAATATTGTTCGGGCTTGGGTGATATCTCTTCTTTTGACAGATGAGCCAATGCGAGCGGGGTGTAATATTGTTCTGCGTTGGCCGTTGTTTTTGGTTCTGAGATTTTTGGTGCTTTCCAGTCGGGGGTGGACGGTGTCAGCGTGCATCGTTCTACGCATCCCCCCCATCGCTCCCGCAACCCCTCCTCCCCACCTACTCCTTCGCCCGCATCTTCTTATTTGCAGCCTGCATCTTCTTATTCGCAATATGCTTCTTAACCTGCGCCATGCTCATCCCATGTACTTTCTCAAAAAACACGGCTGCAAGCTTGTTCCAGTCTCCGCCACACTCCGGCCACGCTGTACATAGCACGTGGCTTTCCAAAGGGCTGAGCGCAACGGGGGTGAGGAGGCTGGTGTCAGCGCCATCGGAGGTGCTGGTGTTGATGGGAACTGTGCTGCGGGGCTTACGTGCCGCAGCCGGCTTCTTAGGTTTCTCGGCAGCAGCTTTTTTGTCGTTGGTCTGCTTTTTCTCCGTACCGTTACCGTTGTTACCATTGCTGCCCTCTCCACGCACCGCATTGTCGGGGTCTTGGTCGTTTCCATCCATCTCGTTCTCATTGCCATCACCGTTATTACTCTTCCCGCGCGCCGCCATATTGTGGTCAAAGTGGCTTCCATCTGCTTCGTTCTTCACGCTGTTCCCCTCGCTACTCCCCGCACCACCCGTCATCCTATCAGCGCCATTTGCGCCCCCTTCATCCACTCCACCACCACGCCCTTCATCTCCATCTTCAGCCTTTACTTCCTTCTCAACAACGCCAGCCTTCTTCCTCGGCTCCCTCACCCGCTTCTTCGCCTCTGTCACAGGCCCGTCCTGCACATCCTGTTGCACAGCGGGGGTATCAGCGGCACCCTCAGTCTTGACGTCAGCGGTTCTCTTCGTAGCCCGTTTACGTGCCGGCGGCGCACCCAGGGCAGCGTCACCGTTCGCGCGGCGTCTGCGTTTGGGTTTGACTTCCTCTTCTGTCACATCGGTTTGGTTCAGTGTGTCCGAGGGCGTTGTGGTCGCGGCAGAGGTCGCGGGTTTGCGTTTGCGTTTTGGGAGCTGCTGTCGGAGGGTTCATGAGGGCGTGGGAGGTTTTGGTGAGGTGAGGGGATGGGAAACGGAGAGGGGACAGAGTGGGTACCTTTGGCTCGGTAGTAGAAACAACCATCTCCTCCTCCTCTTCAACCTCTTCGACCTCTCCACCGTTCTCATCCATCGAAGCGGTGGATTCGAGGCCGTGGGCCAGCAGATGCACATGGATCACCAACAGTCAGATCCAAACCCTTCTCTCGGCGTGGGGGCTCACTGCGCGTTGTAGTTTACCTCGTCACCGTTCGTCAAGCCCTCCATATTGACTCAAGACTATTTGTTTTTTTTTCAAGGGTTGCACGATTTTGGTGGACGTCCGGGATGACTGATCCACAGTCTAAACTGACTGAGAGATGTGATGTGTTTTGGTGGTGGTGGTGTGTTTGTGTCGTGTGTGGGTGTCTTATGTCGTGCTCAGTCTGTGGAGTTTCGTACGGATGCGCGGATACGGTGTGGGAGTGCGATACCCGGATGGAATGCTTAAAAGAGAGTGGGGGCCTTTTCGAGCCTTGAAATTATTCAGTGACTGCGAAGATGTGTGTAAATTGCAGACCTTTGAGGGTTGCTCAGTTTGGGAGTTGATGAGCTATGACAAGGGTGCAGCGGGACTCAAAGATGTGACGTGCAGGTTCGTGAGTATGAATGAGCACGGGAAAACGGGGACAGCAACGGGACTCGCACGGCCGCGGGTGACAGCACATTACAGAGGAATTCGACAGCGCGTTTCCGGTCGACCGTTTTTCGATGACCCTATAGATCTAAAGACCGTAGTGGGCGAGCAACAACGCCGATGTTGAATTCCATGACCGTTCCACATCCCTGCCACCCCCAAAAAACTGTATATCCTACCTAATATACATCTATTCTACCCGCCACCTCCTCCCTGCTCACATCCCCACCACCACTTTCCCTACGCCTCCCTCTCCTCGCCCTCTCCCCACCGCCCATCCTCATTTTAGGCCCCCTAGTCCCAAAATGCACCCTCCACTCATGCTCCCCATTCAACACCTTCGGCTCCCCCGTTTGTGTGTCGATGCAGAAGGGACAGGTGTGTTTTTTCCATGTTGGTTTTTTTGGGGTGGGGTGTTCCGGTGATTGATGCGGTGTTGGCGGGAGGAGTTGACAAGCGAGGGGGGTGAGGGTGTATGGGAAGGATAGCTGCTCGTTGAAGGTGGTGGGGGAAAGGAATTTACGGGCAATTGTGAGGGCGGTGGCGGAGACGTTGGCGGTCCATTTTGCAATATCTAACATTTGAGAAGTACCCAATCCGTCAGCGACACTTTCTCCGTGTTTCGTGTTTTGCAAGGTAACCAATAGTGATGTGGACTACCTTCCACACGGGTTGTAGAACTGATGTTCGTATACAGTAACTACTTTGCTGTAAGGTATTGTAGACGGAATGGGTGTTTGTCGGCGCTGCTATTCAATATGCAGCAAAAGAAATACTTGTTGTGAATAGGAACACGCGACGAGCGCTGGTAAAGCACCCAGGAGGTCGGAGTCCACTGGAGAACACTGTCTGGACGCTTAAATACAGGTTTATCCCGCGAGGCCTGTCTTGCAGACATGTTGTTCTCCAACTGGACGGACAACCCACATTACAATTGTTACCTGACGCGTCCAATACATAAAACGCTACCCTCCTCCGCATCCCCCCACTCCCACCCTGCGTCCCCTCCAAAACAGCCCCAGCCATTTTATTCCTCAACCAGCCATTGTTACTGTGCGTTGAGATGAGATTACAAGAGGGATCCTTGCTGAGCTGGGTGTGGTTTTTGCTCTATGGGCCGAATGAAATGTGGATTTCAAGCAGCATGTGACGTGACAGGACATTGGGGACATGTGACGCATTCCCCACATGTCAAAGGGGCCGCCTGAAAGGAGACAGGAAGCTGCAGCTACTCCGACATGTAGGGAAGAAAACAATAAAGTACGGTAGTGTCATGTGGATGCATGGAGCTAGGGTTAGGGATAGGGAGTTAGGGTTAGCAATGGTTAGTGCTTCTCTCACAGGGATGGAGGGGATAGCCTCGCATTTTGCACTTTTCAACCAGACCCCGCTCCCACCAGAACAAGACCTTCGTCAGCCATCCCCCACCGAGACGCCCCCTCCCACTCCATCAAAATGACATTAAAAGTCTCCTCGTCAAAAGGCAAATCAGGCACACAAAAGTATGGCCAGAAGGACCAAAACTGTTGGAGGTATCATCCTCCCGAGTCCCCGGTTAGGGTTCCTGTAGTTTATTTCCTCACGTGACTTCCCCCCCGCTTACGCCACGCTTCCGCGTACGGGACTTCACTCTTTTCTTCCCCTTCGGACCTTGCGTCCTCTTTCTACTCTAGACAACACATACTTCACAATATTACATCCCACACAATATAGAGTTTGATCAGTCATCTGCTTCCTCTGCTGACTACTGCTAAGTGTAATTGGTCCAGCGAAGGACAGGTAGGGTGCTCATTGAGAATTGTTCAGCGTAATTGAAGAAACGCCAAAAAGGAGTTCCAATAATAGCGTCATAAGCCAGATTACTGACTAGCCAGGGAAGTTGTCCAACTAAGAAAAGCAACTGAGATTCGAGATCCCATGGATCTAACTTTTCCGAAACAACCGTGTTGAGAATCATGTATGATTCCTTGTCGGCCAGCCATATCTGCTTGGGTTCGATACGTTTCTTGGGAAGTTTGTGCTTTTTCGATGAATGTCTTGTCAAGGAATACCCCAGTTGCGCCGCTATCGAAAAGAACACAAGCAAACCTGTTTCCGATGCGACAACGAGAGACCCAGAGTGGAGCAGACAGTGGTTCGTGTTAAAGGGGCACCTACCAGTACAGTACATGACCGGGTAAGCGCTCTGTTTGGCAAACTGGCATAATACGCATCCAGGAGCGGTCCTATCGCTGTCCTTCAGTGGTGGGTAACGGAGGGCGTTGGGAACGGATTGGAGTGCCATTACAATCAGTCCACCGCGGCTAGCTTTGATACATGGTCGCGTGGAGGTTCTGGAGTGGTGGAAGAACTCAGGCTTGAAGTGTCGGCCGATCAAGGGTCATGAAACGGTGGGCTTTGTAACCTCAGAGGAAACGTAGATGACATTGGGCCCTTCCGAGAGGGCTGAGAGCAGTGTATTGTAGTGAAGAAAAAAGTAAGATTCTTTTCGCAGCGGCTGCTCGACTGACAGCTTTATATATGGGCTGCCAGCGGGGCTTGCGTGGCTTCAGTGAGGCTTGGCGCCTTATGTAATGTATCACCGAGAGCTCGGGTGACCAACCCGGGCCTCCGATCAAGTAGAAGTACAGAGATGTAATATGAAATACAAGTGAATATGAGATATCCCCGACACCTCGCTCAGATCCTGAGGAGGGCGCCGAATAAATAAGAGGTGAACTACGAGGGATATGTGAAGAAAGGGAGAGCTCATGTCCATTTTAAAGTGTTGACGCACTTGTTTATTTTATAGTGTTGACGCACTGTGTGATGTGTGTTTTTGAGGCAAAGGCGTCCCTAAGCCGACCTCGTGTGTGATGTGTGTGTATAAGGTCGGTTCTTGCGTCGCCGCGCGTGATGTGATGTAGTTTACGTCGCTATTGTCAGTGGTGTGATTGGAAGTGAGCGGTTCTTGCGACGTCCACGTGTGATGTGATATGAGATGCTCTATGCTGTTCGTCTCCGTATCCACAAAGATTGTGGATGAGCTTTTCGCCATCGTTTGTAGGCAGGCGTGTAGCGATCCACGTAGCTGGGTATCGAAGTCCTCTTCGAGCGTCTACTTCTAGGTTGATTCCTGGTCGATTTAGATCGACGAGGTCGCCAATTTTGTATGCGATTGGCGTTCGACCTTTGTCGTGTTGATGTGCAAATTGATCTCGCGATCTCTGAAGGTTTTCGCGTACGATACGGGCGATGTCTTCCTGCCCTTTCTTGAAGAGTTCGATTTCGTTTCGATCTACAGCTCGAAGTTTGAGTTCTAGTCCTTCGAGTGTTGGATTCCAACCCGGGAGGATTGGAGAGCGTCCGAGATCTACTTTGAATGGCGATAAACCTTCATATTCCTCCCTCGGAGCGGTGTTGTATGCGAATTCGATTAAAGGCAATAGTTTCTTCCAATTGCTTTTATCGTAGTTGAGATATTGCTTCCAAATCCTTTTCAGGGTTTGGATGGCTCACTCAACTTTGCCGTCGGTTTGCTGATGACGAGCCGTAGCGTATTCATGTTTTACACTGAGGAGGATATCAAATGTCAGGAAGAAGTCGGAAAGTGCGCGAGGTTCACGGTCCGTAACAAAGACTTTTGGCGTACCGACATGTTTCCATACATGATCTAAGAAGACTTCGGCTAGTTTGCGTCCAGTGATTGTCTTCCTGATCGGCGTTAGGATCACACGTCCGGAAAGGTAATCAATGCAAACGAGACAAGAGTTTGTTTCATCTACTTCGAAAATCTTGAATCCAATCGTGTGCCATCTTCCAAAAGGTATAGGAAGAGGTCAAAGAAATCCGTATCAACGATGACCAGATTTGAATTGTCGACAGGATTTGCAAGTTCCAACGTATTTGATGACATCGGAGCGTACGGTAGGCCAGTAATAGTCCGTAAGAATTCTTGTCCGTAAAATCTTCGGGCGAATGTCTTCAGGAACGTATAGACGTCCTTCGTGTCGTACTAATCCATTTTTGAACATATAACGGAGTTCTTTTGAAGTTTTCGCGTGTTGAGGCTTTCGAGAAATTTCATTGAGATAATCTGAATATGGATCTTCGCGTAGGGCTTTTTTCCATTCTTCTTCTGAGCAAGTAGGTGAGTTTTGTGGATTGTCTGTCGTAGCGTTGGAGGAGGGTTCATTGACAAGCATGTTGCTGATCTGCGTATGCATGTCGAGGCGTCGTTGACAATCTACACACCGAGGCGCATAGATTGGATTGCGGGAGAGCATGTCGGCGATATGATTCCATCGTCCAGGTAAATACTGGATGTCGAAATCATACTCTTGTAGCTTCTCCACCCAATTGGCTTGTCTTCTGCCCAAATGGGGTTGCGTTTGGATGAGTTCAAGTCCCTTGTGATCGCTAAAACATCGGAAGTAACGACCGATCAGATATGGTCGATTGGCAACCAACATCTTGACAAGAGCTATAAACTCCTGTTCGTGCGTAGGATATCGAGTTTCTGCGTCTTTCATCTTTCTAGAAAAGAAAACCACAGGCCGGAGCCTAGGTAACTTCTTCCATTGTCCGACGAGAGTAGGCAGATTTGTAGGGATTGTTTCATCCCCAGAAGGTTGTCCAATCAGGCCAGCAATAGCGTAGCTCGATGAGTCAGTATAGACGTAAATCGGCTTGGTTTTGTCGATGGTTGCTAGCGTAGGCGCATTGATCAACGCTTCTTTCAACTTTTGAAATGCCTCTTGTTGCTCAGGACCCCATCGAAATTTGACTTTCGAAGATTGAATACTTGATAGGGGCAGAGCGATGTCCGAACAACCTTGTACGAAGTCAAGGAAGTAGTTTGTGAACCCGAGAAAGCTTTGAACTCCTTTTGTTGACTTAGGAGTAGCCCAATCCTTGATAGCTTGGATTTTCGAGGGCGCGATGCGAACACCATGTCTTCCGACAATATGACCACACCATTCGAGTTCTTCTTTAGCCCATACGTACTTTGAAGGCTTGATGAAAAGGGCGTGTTCTTCAAGTTTCTTCAGGAGACGATCGACGTGTTCCCGATGTTCAGCTAAGGTCTTCGAGAAATAAAAATGTCGTCCAGGTAGGTAGCAAGGAATTCTTCGTAATCTTTATGCAAGGTCGTATTCATAAGACGTTGAAATGCAGCAGGTGCGTTGGTAAGCCCAAACGGCATAATCAAATACTCGAAATGTCCGAAGCGAATTTGTATTGCCGTTTTTTCTCAATCTTGTTTGCGTATAAGAAGACGATGGTATGCTTTTCGAACATCGATAAGCGTAAACCATCAACGCTAAGCGGAAGGCCCCGCATACCTATGCTGTTGGCGACTGGGTGTACGTTCATCGCAACGAGTTGGACACGACTTACGTCTCGACCCGCAAGCTCGTCAACCGCTGGACCGGTCCATATCAGATTTCCAAGGCCTACGCCGGTGGCGCCTACTTGCTCCTCAATGAGTACGGGGGCCCTGCGTTCAACTCCCGCCCTGTCAATCACCTCCGGATGGTCCCCGCAAGGATACGCCCTGCCTGGCACGCACCCGCTTTCACCCTGCCGTCCAACCTTCCCCTCCACGACGACCAAGTGGATCCCCCTCCGAATGCTACGCCCGAAGAAGAGATCGACAATGACTCTCTCTCCGATGTCCCGGATCTTGTCCTGGACGAACTCCAAGTTTCGTTAGTTGCCCACTACGCTGCGCTCCCCTCGGACGACACCTCTTCCTACCCAGGTGCCCTCCCTGTCGACCAACCGCACGCTCTTGACGCCGCTTCGTTGACCCCTCTTTTCCACACGCCCGCCGGCCGTCCCAGTCGCCACGGCTGTTGATGTTCACCGACTTCACACGTCTTCCTTTCCGGTTTCACTTTTTCGTCTCGCTTCTTCTTCGTTTCGGATTCTCGCGTTTGCTCACTACTCGAACGATCGCTCGCTCACGTCACCGCGCCCCCGCATATGCCCACCGGGACGGTCCCTCGATACCGCGCTAGTGCCTCTGCGTCGATCAACGTCCTTTTTTTCCGATTTCAGTTTCGCTTGCTGACTCGCTTGGCACTGTGGAGGCAGGGGGAGGAATGTGGTGCGGTGGGGAGACGTGTCATATTTCCCCAACCCTACCTGTCTGCGGAACCCTAACTCCCTGCGGTAAACCTAACCCACTAGCTAGTCTATATCCCCACTCACATGACTTGTTGTTGCATTTTTCTACTTGTACATCTTCGCGCGCGACTGCACCGGCTTCCTCTTTTCTTCTTTACCCAAAATACATCTACATTACCCTGCCTACCTCAACGTTTGCCTGGATAGGGCTAGTCAAATGATGAGAGCAAGTGCTGTTCACTGGCGACTGAGCAAGCGGGTTCACGGAGGGGACGGTAGGTTCGCCTTGTTGTGGCGCTCGGCCCGAATTCAGGAGCAAGGTAACCAATCCAGTCAGATTGGCTATTTGATCCTTTATTTGAATCATCTCCTCTTCCTGCTTGACAGGCATAGGTTCTTCCTGAATGGAATACATCAGGAAGGGGTTGTTTTTGGTTCTGGTATGTGCGCGTGATTCAGGCGCATCCACATATGGCGTGGTTGCGTCTTTCCATTCCGCAATAGTAGCAGAAAGTTCCTCCTTCCTCTTCTTCTCATCCACAAATTCACCAGGCATTTTGTAAGGCAGGGTAGGTGTCGGTTCACTGCGTAAGTCGGCATGACGGGCTACACCTTGATTAAGCGGAGTACGTGAGTCAATGCCAGAGCGCGGATAAATAGACTCAGAACTCTTAACAGGGGGTTGTTGAACTTTCTTTCCTCTGCCTCTAGTAGCCGCAGGTAGGGGTCCCAGGAGAGCTCCTCCTTGGGACCGCGTGTGGTGAGCGGAGGGCTTGCCGGCTGTCACTGCAGCTGCGTAGCCCTTCTGAGGTTGGGTTGTTGAGTCCTTAGGTGGCATGGTGCTTTCTAAGAGAGCGGTGACTGGAGGCCGTGAGTTCTTCATCCTGGACGTCCGCTAGTTGCGGGCAAAGCCAGGGCTCATAACCACTTAGCAGTAGTTGGCAGAGGAAGCAGATAACTGAGCAAACTCTATGTAGTGTGCAATGCTGTGCTGTGAAGTATATATTGTCTGGTGTAGAAAAGAGGACGCGAGGTCCGAAAAGGGGAAGAAAAGAGTGAAGTCCCGTACGCGGAAGCGTGGCGTAAGCGGGGGGGAAGTCACGTGAGGAAATAAACTACAGGAACCCTAACCGGGGACTCGGGAGGATGATACCTCCAACATCCACCGCCGACCTAGTCTTCCACAATATCATCCGTCTCCACGGCCACCCCGACGATATCGTCTCTGACCGAGGACCCCGGTTCAAGTCTTGGTTCTGGCGTCAACTTCTCGAGCTCCTCAGGGCCAAAGCCAACCTCTCCTCAGCCTTCCACCCCCAGAGCGACGGCCAGACGGAACGCGCCAACCAGATCCTGGAGCAGTATCTCCGATGCTTTTGCAACCACCAACAGGACAACTGGAAACAGCTTCTGTCGTCCGCCGAGTTTGCCTACAACAACACCCACCAGTCCTCATCCCAGACCACTCCCCTCTACGCCAACAATTGTCTCCACCCCCACTTCAGTTTCACGGCCTCTGCTACCTCTGAATCCGTCAATCCGGCTGCCGAAGCCCGCGCTAAACAACTCAAGGAAATCCATGAACAGCTTGCGCTTGAGTTCAAGGAAGCCCAAGATCGAATGAAGCACTACGCCGGCGCTAAGCAAATTCCTGGAACGGACTTGAAACCTGGCCACCACGTCTGGCTCCTCTGCAAAAACCTCCAGACGACCAGGCCCTCTCCGAAACTCGACAATCGCAAGATTGGGCCATTCCCAATCATTGAAAAGATCAATTCAGTCGCCTACTGTCTTAAGCTCCCGTCTACCTACAAATTCCACAATGTCTTCCTTGTCTCGCTCCTCGAACCTTGCTTCACCATCCCCAAACGACACAAACCCAAACCCGCGCCTCCAGAGAACATTGATGGTCAAGAAGAATGGGTCATCGAAGCCATCCTCGACTCTCACACCCATCGTCGTCACCTTCAGTATCTCATCAAATGGCAAGACTGGCCTGACTCTGAGAACACCTGGGAGCCCGTGGAACACCTCACCCATGCGGACGAACCCCTCGAGGGCTTCCACAGCGTGTACCCCGACAAACCTTGCTCCGTCCCCGATGCCCGTCCTCTGCGACCACACAAGACTCAACACCGCCGCCGCCGCCGCCGCTAAAGAGGGGGGTGATGTTATGGACAATGAGCCCATACCATAAGCATACCTCATGACAGCACACTGACAGCCACCAATGTCGAACGCCACTGTCAATGTCAATGTCGGTGTCAATGTCAATGTCAATGTCAATGCCTTCCCCTCTCATTTCGCCAATCCCCTGCTCTGCTCTCGTCCGCCAATCCCCCATTTGCCGCTCCTCCTCTCTCCTCTCATTTCGCCAATCCCCCCACGGCTTCTCCACACCCCCCACTACTTCTCCATAGCCAGCAGCCGTAGCAATGCCCTCTACGCTCGCCACGGCCGCTCTAGGAGCATAGCTGGCGCCCCCCCCCCCCCCCCCCCCCCAGTCCCCTCTTGTTGTTGTTCTTTGATCTGCTGGGTTGTCTATCTATAATAGCCGGCCTCTCTTCGTCCATTCCCTTCCTCCCCAGCAGATCAACACCAGTTCTGCTCATCTCCTGTTCTAGTCCTTGTTTGTCGTTTCGCCCAATACAATCTCTTGTCACCTATCACTCTCGCTCTGTCTTCTCTTCTTCGCTTCCGCCTCCGTCGTCGAGATCATAACATCGTCAATATATTTGTTCAAGTATTTCAGTATCTCGAGAAGATCGACCCGGGTGCCCTCCTTGATCCCGAAGAGGGCATACAGTTCGGGAGAGAGCGTCCTCGATGGTGTTCGTGCGTTTGACATATTGACTTTGGTATGATTTTCTGAAGGTGAGCTGGCGCCCGGCACGGCGCTCTTTTATACCCATCTCCTCTTCGTCAGAGTTTGGGACTGTGCTGTTGCCAGACATACCTAAGGACCCATTTTCCCGGGACAGGCTTGTCGAGCTCTCCACGCTCTCACACTCCCGAATCCGAACAAGAAAGAGCATTCCTCCATTGGTTAAGGGTCCGTTGTCCTTAACGTTGTCCTTATGTGCTGGAGCCGGGCGCAACAGCCTGACCACCTTTGACGAATAAGACCACGGCCGTCGGCAAACCCTTCAGGGAGGGGAACTTGCGACTGGTGTGACGAACGGGCCTTATGTTTGCGCATCCGCCTCCTTTCCGGTAATCGTCCCAGAGCGCGAGAGTGTACATTAGATCACCTGCCTGATTCTCCTCGTAGAGGCGACAGAGCGCCTCAATTCCATCGTCCATCTCGATGAACGGCGTGCTCATCGCCTCAAGGTGCATATAGACCCGGAAGGTATTGGGATCTATCATGTGCATGGCATCCACCCGCCACTGTGTGCAATTGTGGAGGACCGCCTCCTCTTCAACGGCGTGGTTATTTCCGACGTCGATAGGCGTCCCACGGGGGATTGACAGGACCATCATCACAGCGGCGCTGTTGGGATACATAGTGAAGCTGTGGGCGATGTCCAAGGTGGGGGTGGTGGACATGAATTCGTTGGTGATGATCCGTCGGCCAGGGACGTACGTTTGCCGAAACTGGTCCAGCTTGTTTTGCCGTATCGAGATGCCCCTGTAGAGTGTCATGTCCTTCGGTGTTCGGGTCCCTAAACGCATCAATAGGGCCAGATATCTAGCAGTGAGGAAACAGGTGATAGCCTGGTGCTCGTTATGGGTGAGGAAGGGATCTTTTGGATTTCTTTGGATCAGATTGATGACCTCGTAATCTATCGAAGCATAGTATTGTGCCCACACTTTGTCGAGCACGGTCTCCTCGAAGCCCCGACGTGAAGGCATGAGGTTGTCCATCAGCGCGGCAATCGCATCATGATTGAATGCCCGTTCCTTCTTGAGCTGGGCGATGATGGCCCGTTCATGGAGGCGTACCTTCTCTGAAGGGACGAGCGGTTTAGGCATTGTTGGTCGGTCTTACGGTTTACGCATTAAAGAATTCATGATTCCCTGTAATCTCTTAGGGTTAGGGTTAGGGTTTCCTCTTCAGATAAATCATCTGAAATACATTCTGGTTCGGAGTCACCTATGGGAGAGCCAGATGCAGGTTTGAGATCCCTGCGACGGCGATAGAAATCCTCTTCTATGTACTCGCCCCTATAGGAATCTTGCAAAACCCATCCCCGTTCAGCAGGGAGGATGTCGGCAGCAGTAGGGCATTTCCTTCTGTACCTTCTCCGAGCGTACTGATGTGCTTCTTGAATATGATCACTATGTGTTTGTTTGACGTCGGCCGGCATTTTGACTGAAGCGGATTGTTTGGTGCACGGCGACTCAGCGAGCTTTGCCTTCGAGTGCCGGATTTCCTTCCGCAGTCGTTCAATCTCTTTATCTTTCTTTCAACAGGGTTCGGTGATGTTGCTTTCTTCGGGCATTGAGTGTTGTGGGGGAGGTTGGGATCTCGACGAGGTATTTATGTACCTGGTTTTTTTGCGGGCCGCTTGCGACTTCTCTGAGTGAAAAGACGCCGGTGGGCGGGCCATCGATACGGTTGACGTAGGCGATTTTTTCATCCATGTTGTTCGGTGTTTCCTGACTTGGTGTGGACTCGGTCCGGACCCGATGCCTTCTGAATCCCTCGGGAGGACCAAGGGCGCACACTGACCTACGGATGGACGGGTGCAGAAAATCGCTAAACTTCTATGGAAGGAGCTTCTTTGGGCCAGGAGATCAAGGGGCGTTCTATGACAGTATTTCGACAGTTTACGGGCGTGGAAAAACTTGGCGCCATTGGCGGTGTGATCACGCGACTCCCATTTCATTTTTGTCATCAAGGCGCAGATTCCTCTGTTCGTCTTTCTTTGGAATGATTTATCCTACGCTGCCATGGCCGATATACGACGTAGTCATAGTGGTTCTGGACCTTTATCCGAAGAAACTTTCGTTCAAAAGAGAAAGCCTGAGAATGTGGATAGACGGGACGTCGAGTTTGAATACCTCTTGTCAATTGCCCAGTCAAGTGTCCGGAACGGTCCTCGACTCAAAGGTCAGTAATATTGCGCTGGAGAACATGAGAATTAATAGTATGATAATGTTCAATAACAACTATGTCGTCCGTATCAGGTATCTGCGGGTTGCATGTACAATGGGCCGCAGAAGTGACAAGGACCTATCGCCGCATCATGGAGGCTATTGACAAAGCGAACGATTTGTTTGACACCGCTATTCAGAAACTTGAGGGAGAAGAAAATTTCGATCCCGATAATCCGCCGACAGTGTGGGATCAGCTCAACGATTTTTATGACGATGGAATAAAGCTCAAGGCAAAGCTGTCTACCCAGCCGTGTATGGGTTGCAGTGTTCACGAGATACTCAATGAACCTCTGCACTATACGGTTCTCTACTTGGGCTCTGCCGCGGATGACCAAGGCTTTGCTGAGCATCTCAGAAAGCTCCTTCCGACGGTCTTAAGTTTAGACGAAGTTTCGATTCGGATTCTAAGGAGTGCGTCTGAGTTCTACAAGGAATGGGAGACAATCCAAGCATTGTTAAATGCCTCCTAGGCTGGGCATCTGCCTTACCATCACTTGGACTGGTCCTGCGTGAGGAAGGACCTCGGGCTCTTTACAAAGGTACGCAAAAGGGGTAAACGGGACGGGATCATCGTATCCTGAGAAACCGGAATAACCGTGTCCTCATCCTTCACTTCGATTCTAGGCTTTGTACCGAAAGTACTTTGTCTGAGACCCGGCGGTGGTATCCTCCTGGTGGTTTTCAAGACCGTCTCAGGTTACATGCGAAAGTAAGTCCGACTATGTTCCGCTCCTTATGCGGACATAGGCATTCTAACATCTGTTCTTCTGGCTAGACACTTCATGTAGATATTTCTTTTGGCCAGCGCATGTAGATACAATAGTAGATGACCCCATCCTTCATAGTCTCTGCTTCCAGTCACCCGCACATACTTGGATTCCTTTCCTTCACCCCGTTCGCCGGGGACCTTTTGCATAGAGAATCTGTACATAATACAAGCATCCGTCGAGACGACATCATCAAGTGTTGCTACATGACCAATCCCGATCAATTGAGCTGAGAATTGAAGCCTCGTTCGATGGTGGTGAAGCAATATGAATAGGGCCCGTATGGGACGCGCGGTGTGAATTTTGTGTGCCGAGGCCGACTGCGCCACTCCGCCAAATGGCCCCTCGACAACGACGTGCAAACGGTTTCCCAAAACACAGAGAGATCGTACTCGCCCCGCATCAACCCCACGTTAACGTACAGAGAGGGACCAACATTCCCCCACCGTCCCATTGTCTAGGGTCTTCAACGACTGCTGAAGCTAGCGGACCCTTCCTTCCCACCAGAGATTTCCAATCCCCGCACATTATCGGCACATACCCAACCCCCCCCTGAAAGCAGTTGCCCACAATGACCCTCGCCCACTCCCTCCGCCGGCCAGCCCTGAGCCTCTGCCGGCGCCAACCATTGCGTCCCATCTGCCTCACCCGTCTCCCCGCCACCACCACCACCACCGCCACCACTACCCTCCTGCAATCCCACCGCCCCGCCTCAACATCCTCCTCCTCAACCCAATCCTCTACAATGAAAACCGCCCCACTGGACGAAGTCTCCGCCACCGCCTCCCCCCTCTTCGACGCCGCCATCAAAGACGCCGCCGCAGCCACCGGCACCCCGTCCCCCTCCTCCTCCTCCACCACCCTCGCAGGCGCGAAATCGAGAAAGCCCAAACAGATCCCAACCTTCACCACCGGCGATTTCCCCTGCTCCCCGCAAAAACTCACCCACCTCGCGCGGCTCATCAAACACATGTCGGTCCCCGAAGCGCACACGCAGATGACGATGAGCAAGAAACGCGCCGCCGACCGTGTCCGCGCCCTCCTCCACCGCGTCCGCTGCAACCTCAAGGAGAACTACAACCAGGATGCCGACGAGTATGTCATCACACAGGCCTGGGTCGGGAAGGGGGTGTTTCTGAAACGGTTGAAGATCCATGGACGCGCACGGTTTGGGATCATGCATCGCCCCCGCGCCCATCTCAAGGTGGTCGTCGAGAGGAGGGAGGTGGGGAGCAAGGAGGTGGATGTGGAATTTGAGCGGCTGGTGAAGATATTTAGGCGGAAGGAGCTGTTTGTGCCGTTGAGGGATAACATTCCGTTGAGGCATGTTGCGGTGCCGTGGAGTGCGAAACCGTGGAAGTATGTGACGAGTGGGAAGTGGGTGAGTCCGGAGAATGCGCGGGCGAAGCGGCAGTAGGGAGGTGGGGTGGGCAGAGTGGGAAAGTGGGAAGGCGGACGGACGGTTTCGTCATCACTCGGCGCCTCCGCTCTCTCTGTGTTTTCCCTCTCTCTCTCTCTCGGTTCTCCATTGGTGTATATATACATTGCGAACAAAGAAATTCATGCAAAACGAAATAGAGAAAAAAAAACATCACACCAGATCGAGATAAAAGATCGAGAAAAAAACATGAAATCTCATTCCTAAACACATACACACAAAATCCCCCCCCTCAATCACATACACACAGAAAACCCCCCTTCTTGATCTCATACCAAACACTCCTCAGCCCTAACAAATGCCGCCGCCCCACCCCCGCTCTTCAACAGCTCCCAGCCCACAACCGCCGCTTGACGGTATATGCTCTCAATTGCTGGTATGCCGGGGCGGGATGATGCCACTACATAATGAAGAAATAGAAGAAGTTCACAAATGTGAGTAGGGGTGGGGTGTTTGATTTGAGGGGGGGGTTGGATGGAAGACGCACCGAGGATAGCGGAATTGACAGCGTCGGCGACCAGGGCGCGGTTCACGGGGTCGAGGAGGTACGAGACGGGCGAGGTCCAGGGGTCAGGGTATGCCAACAGCGAATACGTTTCCTACAATGCCCACATATCCCTGTCGTGAGTGGGGTATGGCGCAGCGCACACGAGAAGAGAACGGGGGTAACGAAAGGGAAGGGGGGGGACGTACGTACCACCAAAGCGCGTTGCACAAACTCATTCTCGACAGTCCCAAACGTCACATTCAGGTCCTGCCCGTGCGCCACGACCGCGCGTAATCGTTCCTCCTCCGTGTCCCCGGCCCCGCCTTCGTGCCCTTCCCCTTCCCCTCCCGCACCATCAACATCCATCGCATCCTCCCCCTCCTCTCCCGCAATCACCGCCTCGGATGGATTTGACTCGACACCAACCCCCCGCATCAACTCGACAAACTTCTGACTCTGCAACATGAACGCGAGGCGGCGGTTCTGCGATAAGATGCCGGGGTAGTATTGGTCCATAAGTTGTGTGGCGAGGGGGATTGAGCCCGTTAGGATTGCGTCTCTGATGCCTAACGGGGAAGTTCGAGTTAGGCAATGATACCATGGTAGGCCCTGCCTCCTACTCCGCCGACACTGCACAACTTGACGAAACCATAGAACGTACGTTGCCGCTGCCGCATATCAACCTCATCAAACGGCTCGTCATCCGGTACAGGAGACACATCCCCGGAGATGGAACTAGATGAGAAAGCCGAGGCTGTTTCGCAGAAGCCGTGGTGGATTAGGTAGGAGAGGATGAGGTGGTTTATGCTGGGTTGTTGGGTGGGTGGTGTGGTTGGGGAGTACATAGGTGGGAGGAGAGGGGGAAGGGGCGCGGAGTTGACTTGGTGCCATATTCGGGCCTTTTCTTCCTGTGTCGGGGACGTAGGGAGGTGGGTCATGTGCGTAATAAACGTAGGGGTTCGAAACGGACTCATACCTGAAAATACAACCCGATATCAAACTCAAACTTATTCTGTCCAAAATTCGCCTCCACCACCTCCCCCGGTGTCCTCAGTCCAATCGAGGGGTACAGATTCCCCTCCAGTTTCGGGTTATCCAGCGCATTCGGGAACGCGGTGCCCAGTAACGCGCCGTTTTTGGTGAAGGAGATGGATTTGGTCATGAAGTTGACGATGCAGCCGATCACGTCGCCGGTGGTGAAGCAGGGGCCGTAGGGTTTGCCCGTGCCGGAGCAGCAGAAGGAGTGGCCGTCGTCGCCGTGGTAGCCCCATGAATGGTCTTCCCAGCCTGTTGTAGTGATAGAATTTGAGTACCGCAGATGCGATGCGGCCAGGTCTGGCAAGTCGTACCTGGTAGTCGGTTTAGTTGCACATTATGTGCACACAGTCCGATCCCGATGAACCTGCAGCGTTGGGTGATCGATCGGTCAGTAAACCTGCCCCTACGCTTGACCCTCCCTTCGCACCGGTCGCTCGCCACGGGCTCCATACGGCCCATCTACTCACCCTTCCCTGCCTTTGCTTATGATGGTAACCTCGTAATAGAACTACAAGGAAATACTCATTAGTGGGCCCACGTATCACACGGGAGTCCCTCCCCACCGAAGTGCTCACCAGACCACATTGAGGCGGTATAGGGTAATTCGTCCGCACAGCTGCCGCATGCGCGTCCATCTGCCCTGGTCCTGAATAACATTGCGAACGCCGCGTTAGAACCGCATGAGCAATCACTCCATACGCTTATGCGTCTCCCATGTAAGCACCTGTATACGTTATCCTCAACCCATTCGGCGCCAAGTCCAGCGACTGATTCTTATCCTTCGCATTCCACTGCGTCGGCAGATTCAGCTTCTTCTTCTGTTTTGGAGAGGTATTGCTCTCTCCCGCCTTCACATCCCCGTCCGTGTCATGGTCCATATGCTTCGACGCGCTATTCCCCGCTGCAGCTGCTGCCGAGTTGTTATTCCACACCAGGAACGCGGATGCGGGGAGGTTGGTGTACAACGGCATTCGCTTTTCGCTCGCGCCGCTTGTGGTCGTTTGCTGGCCGGATTGGAAGAGTCCGGAGAGGTAGTCTGGGGGTTTGTTGCGGTTCGTTTTGACGCGGATGGGTCCTGATGGTTTTGACGAGCCTACCCCTCGCGTTGTTGATGTTGTTGGAGGTATTTCTTCGGGTTCGGAGACTGGGGACCCGCCTGCTAGCCTCATTGCTGATTGTCCGAGGAAGTTTCTGTGGGAAATACATGATCAGCAGAAAGTCCCTTTGAAGGAAAACGTGGGAAAACGCCACGCAGCACTTACAGGACAGGCGAGATGACTGAAGTCGGACGGCGCCCGCTCCCAGTCCCACTGGACGCCTGGTTGGAAGCCGTGTTGGTGTTTGTCATTGCACCAGGAGCAGCGGTATCCCGATGGGGGGGAGTTCGAATGGCTTTACCGAACGACGCTGGTGATGTACCCGGAAGACAGGCCGACCGGTAGCGCGGGATGGGTGAAGTTGGCACAGAAGCCAGTGTAAGCGGGGAAGCAATAGCTCTCTGCGTTGCCGTGGGAGGTGTAGCGAGTTGCTTCTGGTGGTTGTAGCGTATGGTACAGTACATACGTAGCTGGTCCGGTTGTGGGAGCAGGGAGGAGTTGCACTAATAACAATCGATCCTTGCCTGCCTGCACTGGGGGCGTGTGTCATCGCTCCCCCTCTCTCACTGTGGGTGTGACGCGCGCGGTGTTTCCCCCCACGGCGCTAATCACTGCTTCTATCGTTCGGGACAGTCACAGCAAGTCCCCACTTGAGGCAGCAGATCATTTCGCCAAACATGCAGGAGACACTCTGTCAACATTCGGAAGCATTCGATAGGTACACAATGCATAAGCTTGAGAATGGTGTATATACATAAACAAGATGTGGTGGGTGATAGATAATGCGAGCCAAAAGTACGCTGGGGATAACCCTCCGAGCATTCTGCCTCCTGTTCAAGTCCGCTTGATGATTTGCACGACATCTTCATCTCCAAGAACATGCTCTTTCCCGACCTTTTGCGGGTTGTGCTTGACGGATGTGCCCCACACAAGGGCGTTCTTGAAGTCCTTCAGGATGGACTTGTGGATGGCATTACAGAAATCTTCGACGGTGCACTTGTCCCGCCTCATGACGACAGGTGCGCTGTAGTCGGGAAGCTGTCCCTTTGGTTTGGTGTAGATTCGTGCCAGATCCAAGTAGGTCCACATCTGAAATAAGAAAGGTAATAAGTGAGGACGACAATGCAATGAACGCGTATGCTCGAACCCAACCTTCTCTAGCAGGTCATCGAAGTTCCATTCATGGTGGGAACTAATCGGGATGGAGTGGGGAATCTTGTAGATGATATCCAGCTCTTCGATGGAAATCTGCAGAATTGCCAAACCAAACACACGTTAGACTGCGCTAACCTAGTTGAAACCAAAATAACACTAACCTGGTCGATCTTGTTCAGGACATAGATGGCGGGGATGTAGATACGGTTTCTAACATTGCGAGAATCATACTTCAGTCGAGTGCTCCATTGAAAGCAACGCCGTGGGCCGTTGCGTCATGTCAAAACCCACCCTTCCAAAATGTCGATCAGATCGTCCTGTGTTGCGTCGCATCGGAACATGATATCTGCGTTATGGATCTTGTATTCGGATAGAATAGCTTTGACAAGATCCTGGTCAAGGTTCGTCAACGTCACAGTGGACGTCATGTTGATTCCTCCCTTCTCCTTCTTCCTGAAAGAGATTGCTGGCGGTTTCTTGTTCAAACGAATGCCGAAACCCTCCAATTCTTTCTCAATCAGCCTCTTGTCTCCCAACGGTTTCAGCACATCGAGGACAATGAAGATCAGAGAGCACGTCCGTGCTACAGCGATGACCTGTCAATGCAAGGGCATCAGTTCCCATTGCCCCGTCGCTTGTTAATACGTCGTCAACATCGACATGTACCTGTCGACCACGACCCTTTCCGTCCTTCGCGCCTTCAATAATTCCTGGCAAATCGAGAATCTGAATTTTTGCTCCTTTATACTCGATAACGCCCGGAACTGTCGTCAGCGTGGTGAATTCGTACGCTCCTCTGGTAACGACCAACGGTAAGTCTCAGCCTCCTTCCGCAGCCACGCTTCCCCTTCCAAAACCTTGCAAGACTCACACTTCAGAGTGCGTTCCAGTCATTTTCGACATGAGCGTCGACTTTCCAACGGACGGAAAGCCGACAAATCCAACTCGAGCAACACCGGTCTTTGCAACATCGAATCCCACTCCAGCACCGCCACCGCCGGCCCCCTGCGGCGTCAAAAGCTCTCGACGTAATTTGGCGAGCTTCGCCTTCAGGATACCCAGGTGATAACTGGTTGCTTTGTTTTTTTGAGTCCGAGCCATCTGTTTCGCGAGCCGTCAGCCACCTCCCTTTCAGATTATGACAGCCGGCCAGCGACCTACCTCGGCCTCAATATCTTTGATTTTCTGTAGCGAGATGCCAGGCATGGCTTTCGTCAGTAATCATACTTCATATGGGCATAGGTGAAAATGCAAGACGAGCGTACCTCATATGTCGACATTTTGGCGCAGGTTGAAGGTCAAGTGCTGCGGTGTTTGCGTTTTGCCCAGGATCTGTTGTCCGGCAGGTGCCAAAGCCGTGCGTTCTTCAACACTCCGTACAGGGAATGGGCATTCGGCTCAGGTTTCCAAAGCGCATTTGCGGCAGGTGTGCATCGGTTTACTGGATCTGGGGCTTTTTCCTCTGGCCAATCGCAGGGTTGCGAGCGTGGACTTTGCGGAAGGCCGTGGTTGGCCAGACGTCCACGGATCCAGTCCAATCACCTGCAATCCCACAAACGGTGCGCAGGAGCTCATAGGCCTCTCGCCATCCATCTTGCGATTGGCCGAAAACCTCCATCACGGAATGTGAATGAGCTCCATGTCCAGCGCGGCCCAATCAAACGCTGACATCGATTGCTTCCATCCAATCCGCGATCTGCAGCAAATTCACGGGCGGCAAAAACGCGCCGTCATTTTCAGAAGTCCGACCCACTGGACAAACTTTGACCAACACCTGGGCCTCCCAAAACGGGGTGTTCTCTCGCTCTCTATGTATGTATGTGCACACAACCCATCTTACCTCTATCCTTCTCGTCATCTCTTCTGGTCTCTCGTTCCGAGAGTGCCCTTGTCGGCCGCCGTCCATTACCACCCCCTCCAACCTCAGACACCCGCTCACAATGGACTTCACCGAACTCTACAAACAAACCTCCAACCTCTGCCGCTTCTCCCCCGACGGCCGCTACCTCGCCACCGCAGTCCAATTCCGAGTCGTCATCCGCGACGCAGAAACCCTTCAAATCCTCCACTTATTCACCTGCACAGATTCCGTCCAACTCGTAGAGTGGTCCCCGGACTCGCAGCTCGTGTGTTGCGCGTCGCTGAAACTGGGCGTCGTGCAGGTGTGGAGTTTGCTGGATGAGGAGTGGACGGCGAAGATTAGTGAGGGCGTTGCCGGATGTACGAACGTCGTGTGGACGCCGGATTCGAGGCATTTACTGAGCTTTTCAGAGTTTCAGGTAGGGTGCAGGCGGGAGCGAGGGCTTTGGTTCGATCTGGGAGACCTACCGTAGCGAGGACCAGAGCGAACGCTTACGCGAGTGAAGCGAGCGACTGCGACCAGCGAAGCGAGGCACAGGGATGATTGAGGCAGGCGAGCGGGGCGGAGCGAGCCACAGGGGCAATACTCGCCTCACCGCAGTTCTTAGCCAGCCTCGGCGATCGTCAGATCTTTCGCGAGCGAAGTGAGCATAGCCCACCACGGCCCAACATTCTTGTCGCGAGCAAAGCGAGCGAAGCGAGCAGGATGTCGTTTCGATCGACCGCCATCATCAACTGTCCGTCAATCAACTTCCGTTCGCTTCCCACTCACTTTCGTTCCGATGAATCTCACAGCTCCGCACAACAGTCTGGTCCCTCACCACAAAAGACGCCTGCTACATGCAATACCCGAAATACTCCGACAAGGGCTTCTGTTTCCGTCGCGACGGCAAGTACCTTGCTCTGCTAGAGCGCGTCGACTGTAAAGACTATGTTGGGATCTACGCGTGCGATGAATGGTCGTCTGTGAAGGTAAGGTATGTGATGGGCAAGAGAATGGGAAATGATGCAGTGATGGAGGCGTGTTTACAAACAACTTGACGTGTTGGACAGCGTTTCGCACTCCCAACGAACGACGCAGAAAACATCGCGTGGTCACCGGACGGGCAGTACATTGCGGCTTGGGAGTCTATGCTCGAGGTACATGCTTCATACCCCTCCTGCCCATCTCCGTCGATTACTTAAAATTTCCCCATGTTAGTACAAAGTATACATCCACCACCCCGACGGACGGCTAGCAGGCACCTACTCGGCCTACGATTCTGGGCTCGGCATCAAGACTGTGCAGTGGTCGCCGTCTGGGCAGTTTCTGGCGGTTGGAAGTTATGATCAGAAGGTGTGCACCCGAATGGAGGATTTGTCTTTCTTGCAACGTGATGCAGAAGCTGGTGCTGATCTACCCGTCCTCCAGGTCCGCCTGCTAAACTACTACACCTGGAAACCTATCCTGGAGTACACGTACCCGAAGGAGATCTCTGACCCGGAGACCGTGAGTATTCCCCACCACATTTTTGCTCTATGCACTTCTTCAACGGCTCCTATGCTGACGTGATGACAGACGATATTTAGAGAACGGAACTCGGACGCGGAGGATGGGGCTGGTGGTGGGCCGTGGCCGCAGCCGCCGACGACGGAGAGTGGAGGCCAGCAGCCGAAGATTCAATGTGAGTGGGAGGCCGATGTCCGTGTCTTACACTGCAATGACAGCGCTGATTTATGTTCGGGTTGTCCTTGTATCTCTCAAACAGACGAAATTGTGCCGACACCATTCGCGATCCAGCACGTAGTACGGCCCGACCCCGACAAGCCCAATCCAAAGCTAGGCATCGGGATGCTCGAGTTCAACCCCACAGGGCAATTCGTCGCCGTGCGGAACGGTATTGTATTCCCCCACTGTTTCCGAATGTGTGTCTCCCATATCCCCGTTCGCTGACATCACCGCACCTCCCCCGACCCACAAACAGACACCCACCCAACAACCCTCCACATCCACGCCCTGCACCCCCCAACCTCGCACCGCCTAATCCTGCACCATACCCACCCAATTAAGCGGATCCAATGGAACCCGCAACACCCGACGCGGCTGGCGATCTGCACGGCGTCGCTGGCGGTGTATATGTGTGATGTGGATGTGGGGATGCGGAATGCGACCTGTGAGGCTGTTGTTGTGCCCGCTGGTATGTGGGTTTGTTTGTTGTTTTATTTGTATGGAAAATATCTGACGGGAAATTTATTGACATCCGACAGCAAATTTCCAAACACACCACCTTACATGGAACCCCTCCGGCACGTCGCTGGCGTTGTTGGATAAGGATAAGTTTTGTCTTGCGTTTCTTGTGCAGGAGGATGAGGAGGGGGGTGAGGGGGGTGATACCCGTACGTATGGGGATGATGCTAGGGGGTTTGAGAGGGGGTATGAGGATGATGGTGAGGATGGGCGGGGGACGGGGAGGTGACGGGGGTTGGAGGCACACTTGGTTGCACGGGCTGTGGGCGTAGGGATTATGTGATGGTGTAATCTGGCGTGAAGCCAAATGCGGCAGCATGGCTGTCTGTTGTTTGAACGTATACCATGCATCCCCACTTTCTGTCGTTGATGATAGGCGGTGTAGGCACAGACATAGTCCGTCGGCAGTTCGGTTGCCTTTCCGGACTCAAAAACTTAGACCACGTTCCCCAGACTGTACCAAAAAAATTGCATCGGCTGCATGTTCTTCAGGCAATGCCGAGGCCTGAATGAATCTACTTAGATCTCTTCTTCGTCCCCGTCCTCAATTCCAATTCCTTGCCCTTAGCAGCCATAGTGCTAGCAGTACTTTCCTGCTTCTCTTTTTTCTTCCTCATACTTCTTTCCCCCACTCCGACCACGACGATTGGAGACGGCATTTGCAGCCGTGTGCCCTCCATGTCGGTCGTCCATCTCCACAACATCCGGTCTGAATCAAATTCGTATTGTGAATCTCTTCTCGACTATTGACATATCTTCAACGCACGAAGACAACCAGAATAACTCTGTTGACAAAAGGAAAACAGCATTTGTTTCGTCTCTGCCATGCTGTTCATTTCGGTTACGCTCGTTCTCTCCCATTCCTATCCCATCCCGCTCTGACCCCGCTCCCACTTCCTCACATCCAGATGCAGACTTGTCCTTTCATTTCATTTCAAATTTTTCCATTTTCGAGACACACAAAAAATCACTCATTCATACGCAACAAGCGGCGAAAAGCTCTGATGGGCCTTTCCAAGGGGGTATCCGTCCTGCTTCCACTGGCTAATCCCACCGCTCAGGCTCGCAACATTCTTGTAACCCATCTTCTGCAGCGCGTCGGCAGCGAGGATCGAGCGGACGCCGCCGGCGCAGTAGACTACGATGTTGTCGTATGGGTCGGGGACGATGCCTTCCTGGATTGGTCCGATGGGAGGGAATGGGAGTGTTAGTGATGGGCTAATAATTCGAGTTGAGCTTTCAGGTCAACCAGCCATAAACTCCGCATTTCCTCCGCCGCACCGCCACTGAAACCCAATCATCTCCCTTTCCCCTCTCAGCCCCCCTACTCACAATATCACGCTCCAAGCACCCTCGTCCAGTGTACAAAGCATACGGCAGACAATCTTTATTCCATTCCTGGGGTTCCCTCACATCCAAGACGTGGAACGCGGTGTGGGCGTTGCCGTCCTGTTGTGGCGCCGAGGCGAGCTTGGCGTTGAGTTGCTGCGGAGTGATCTCTTTCACGTTCTTGCGGACCGTGTTGAGGTAGGAGGCGAATAGGGAATGGCGGGGTGTGGTCTGTGGGAGTGGGTATTTGGTTAGAGACAGAATATAATGCGCTGCGGAGGAGAGCGAGAAGCCTTCGTCTGGAGGGATAGAAGGGATATCACACAAGGCGGAGCGCAAGCGGTGGGAATAAGGGAATCACGCCGGTGGGTGGGTTTTGGAAAATGAGGGCTGAAAAGGAGGACACGTACGGTAGCGAAAGACCTGGTAGCCGGTATTCTGTGGACGGCGACTGCACGCAGGCACATGGCGGGTGACGCTCGTGTTAATGGCCTCATTGCTATGTGGTTGACGAGGGCAAGGAGGTTGTGCTGTCGTTGTCGAGGTCGATGTTGGCGAGCAGCGGTTTGGTTGTTGCAGGGGGAACGACAGATACTGTACGTAGAAGAAGCGAGTGCATATTAATCTGAAGCGGCCTCACGTGACTGACGCGCGCACGTCCGTCCGCGCCAAAGGGCAAGACCCTTCGCAGCTTTCGCATGGCCCTTCCGCAGGCAAGAGGGTGGAACCGTACTGTTCGTAGGTTGGGCGATTTCCATCTTGATTTCCGAAGAGTATGAATGGGCCGCCCAAAAAAAGCGTTTTGTGGTCGCCCGTAAGAAGAAAAGCGAAAACATAGATCTGAGCGTGGATCGAACCGCTCAACGCATCCGTTGATAAATCAGCATAGCATACAGTATCCGTACCGAATAGAGGGATACCTCAGCGCGAGCAGCGTCTAGCAAAGCAAGAGACCTACAGGCCCCCACACTACCATCCATCCCACCCCGGCCTAGCCACACCCCGCCACACCCCTCCCATCCCCTCCCCCACCTACATGCCCCATCCTTAACAATGGGCGCCTGCGTGAGCACGCCCGACGAGAAAGCCTCGGCACAACGCACCCAAGCCATCAACAGGCTCCTAACCGCCGAAGCCCGCTGCACCGAATCCGACGTCAAGCTCCTCCTCCTCGGCGCCGGCGAGTCCGGCAAATCCACCGTCCTCAAACAGTTCAAACTCATCCACGGCGTCCCCTTTGCCGACGACGATCGAAAGGTGTATAAGAGTACGATACACGGGAATGTTGTGGAGTCTCTCGCGACGCTGTTGGAGGGGATGAGGAGGTTGGAGTTGAAGTATCAGAGTGAGAAGGGGAAGGAGGCGGCGAGGAGGATTAGGGAGGGTGTGGAGATGTATGCGGGGGGTGGGGGCAGGGCGGAGGGAAATGGGGAGGGGGAGGGTGTGGGTTTGTTGACGCCGGAGTTTGTGCAGGCTGTGCATGTGTTTTGGAACGATGCTGGGGTGCAAAGGTGTTATGCGAGGTCGAATGAGTTGCAGTTGATTGATTGTTGTCAGTAGTAAGTTGTCGGAAGAAAAAAAAAAGGCGTCCCGCCGTTCTCCTTTCCTTGTGTCCCATCCCACTAATTCTGTTTACCCCAACAGCTACCTCTCTGACCTCCCCCGCCTCGCCTCCCCCACCTACACGCCCACCGACCAAGACATCTTGCGCGCCCGCGTCACAACCACCTCCATCACCGAACACCGCCTGCTTATCAACGGGCTCACCTTCCGCCTCTTCGATCTCGGCGGACAACGCTCGGAACGCAAGAAATGGGCGCCGTACTTTGATGACGTGCATGCGATTATATTCTTGGCAGCGATTAGTGCGTATGATCAGAGGTGTAAGGAGGATAATGAGACTAATCGGAGTAAGTGGGGAATTGCTTCAATTTTTGTTTTTTCGGAGGGTGGATGGGTTTACTGATACCTTTTTTTGCCAGTGTTGGAATCACTCAACCTCTTCGACTCGATCTGCAACCACCCCTTATTTCGGGACACCTCGATCATCTTGTTTTTGAACAAGGTGGATGTGTTTACGCAAAAGTTGAAGACGACGCCTATTGTTGACTATTTTCCGGATTATAAAGGTGTGTTCTTTTGTTCGGAGACGGCGGGAAAAGGGGGAGGTTGGGGAGTTTGAATGATGTCAACGGGAAGAAAAAAGGGGGGATGGATGTGCAATTTTGGGAAGACATCTGGTGTTTCCGGATGATTCAGATGCACTCTTGGGAAGACATACCGGACTTATTGCGTCGTCAGAGGAGCAGTCTTGGACGTAGAGGATGGGCTGCCGAGAGATAGATGTGGGATGTTCTGAGGGAGTGCCATTGCACCTCGAACCTATACAGTAACCACCACTCAAATAGCAACCGCCACCTGACCTTTCTCTCTCCCCAAGGCCCAAACACATTCGACACAGCAGCAACCTTCTTCGCGCAACGCTTCATGAACCTCAACCGCTCCGCCGAGAAGAAGGTCTACATCCATTTCACTTGGGCGACGGATACGGGCCATATCGCGACTGTGCTCGCAACGGTCAAGGCGTTGATTCTGAAGGAGAACTTGCATGCTAGTGGGTTGTTTTAGGTGGTGGGATGTTGGAGGTTGGGGAGGGGAATGGGAGGTGGATCTGATTCTTGGGATGTATTGGATGTGGAAATTCCGGAGAATGGAAGATTTTGAGGCGAGAGGTTATAGGTTTTGGGATTCGTATATATGTATGCTGTGGCTGCGGACGGAGGGCAGAGTGTGAAGTGTTTTTGGAATTTAACAGGCGACTACATATGGAGCAAAACCATACCACACACCATGTGACTTTCTTTTGCTCCACATCGTTCCTTCGCATTCTGGTTTAGAGGCCCCGCCATGGATCTGCCCCTTTGCCCAGATATGCGAAAGCTTTACCCTTCAAGAGTAGATCACGCAGCGCAGGCCCCGTTTTGATGTTTTTCGGTCGGAGTTGTCCCTGCTCTGCCGCTCTCCAAAGGCAAACAAGGAGGACATTTCCAGGGCGCGTGATATCACACAATCCGAGTGCATTGATTTCAACGATGCCATGAATGATATTCGCTTGCTGGCTGTGGGCAGAATTGCTCGAACGTTGCCCGGTCGTGGACGAGGTCGATGCCCCCATCGCACATGAGGCCGGCGTCTGAAATTCCTATTCCGGCCCTCTGTTGCCAATCCGTACTTTGACAAAAACCAGCCAGCAACATCGACACTTGCCCACACGGGCCCGACGAGATTTGTCTGCTCGTCCGCATCAGGCGGTCAAGGACATAGGTCGCTGGGATGAAGTCATTGTGCAAATGAGCAATCATCTCCGAGCTGACTGTTGAGGCGCCCGCAACCTCCTTGCTGGACAGCTTGCTCCACGTGCTCTGTCTCAAGTATGACGATAATGTCGCCTCCAAGTCGTGCGTGTGGGGCAGTCCGCCAACGCCGGGGCCGGCGGTGCGGGCCGTATGAGGATGCTACCTGCATACAAGGTAGGGGGCGAACAACGCAGAAGAATGCCGAAGAAATGCCGTCCGAATGCCGTACAGGCACTCAGGTCTGGTAGAGTGCATGTCGGCAGCTTTGACTTGGCTTTGACCCAACAGCTATATCGGCTAAATGTAGGGAAATGCTAGAACGATACCGGGTGTAGCCAGTTTAGAATGACACTCCTTCTGACGCCTTCTGCTCTCGCCGGCAGCTAAGGAAGGACTTGCCAATTGGACGTGGGTTTACCTCCGAGAGAAGAGTTTTCAAAGCAGTCAAACCACTGCGAGGCCGCCCCAATGCAGTCAGGTTCTTCAAGCGGCGGGCGTTCTTCCAATCCTGTATATGTACGATACAATATGCATGCCCCCGCATCCATTACATCCATCCAGAGGCATTCACTCTCGCTTACTGTGCCCGTCCCATCACATCGAAATGTCCGCCGTACTGCACCGATTCAGCTTGGAAGATAGTGACTGGATTGCGAATATTCCAGTTATTTTTGTTGCAAGCAGTCAACACAGCACAGCTGCTTCAAAGTTCATACCCAGCCGCATTCTGGCCATCCTTGAGTCCTTGGTAGCAAATTGAATTCCGGGTGTTTGTGTAACAATCTGCTGTCTCTGCTGTGGCACAGTACTGTACGAAGATGACTTGTGGCGACTCCGTCAAAATACTTGATAAGTTAATAGCAGCACCAGACCCCCACTCAATTTCACTTCTTGCGTTGCTCGACTTCATCTAAGCGCAACTCAATTATCTAACTGAATCCTAAGACAATGACCTCATACGTGATATCTGTCAATCTCCAGGGGAGCAACGAGTCCTTTGAGTTGTTTGTGAGAGTTGAGTTGGAGGATAGGTTATTGACGGGAGCGTTTTTGAGCAAGGTGATGGAGGAGGCGGAGAAGTTTGCCATTCCTGTGAAGAATGTGGTAAGTAATTGCTTTCGAAGCCGCGAAATTTCCTTGATCCATGTCACTACTGAATATTGCCTGCAGCTCAAGCACCACCGCGCACACATCCTTGTCGAAACCGTCGGCGATTCATTCCTTGACTGGAAAGACTCAACGATAACCATGAGGCGTTTGCGGGATGAAGGTGTTACGATCATGATCTCGGATCGGAAGGAGGGGTGCATCTTGTGCGAAGAAAATCTCGATATTGGTATGTATAGAGATAGATATAACATGATTTTCCTCCCTAACGCATATGGAGCAGAACACCACCCTCTACTTCCCTCCGAAGACACGTTGTCGGGAGCACCTATTGTACGATCAACGAATGATGATGACACTGACAAGATCTTGAGTGTTTTGGAACAAGTCAAATGTACGTCTCCAGCTTGTTTATTTGGCATAGTTCAATGATTTCACAGTCATCAACAGTCGGAGACATCGTCGATTTCTTGTGTGGGAAGAGATCGAGACTGGGAAGGGAGGAGAGGGTTGCGTTAAAGGGTATTGTAGAGAAACTCTACGACCTAGCTTCTAAAGCGGTACGTGAATCATGCTCGCTGTCGTTGAGGTGACCGCCTTTTGCTTTCGGGAACCTGACAATCTTGTCCACAGACCCCGTTAAGTCGGCAATGGTCCGAGTCGGACGTCAGCGTTGACGAGCTGAAGAAGGAGATTGCGAATTTGCAGTTTGAGAAGAAAGTTCTGAAAGATGATCTCGCAAAGTTGCAGGACCAACACAATAATGCTTCTCGGGCGCAGACAGATGTGGACTCGCGAACACTGTGCGAATTTCTAACCGCCCAGCTCGCTGTTCTTCATGACGACACAACGGAGCCGTGCGACTTCACGACCGCATCATTTGTAAAAATGATGGACGGTAATCCTGTGCTCGATCCGAATGGAAGTCCCAGATACAACAGTAAAGATGTGCTATTGCATGCTAGTGAGTGATTTTTGGCATTGTCCGTAACTCCCTTCCAGTGCTGACCGCCTTTTTGAATGGTGCAGTGCATGGAAACTGCCCCCGTATAGCTATGACCATCTTGCGAAAGGGATTTACGAAAGTCAACTTGACTCTATTCCAGCTCCTCAACCAATACCGACAGCTTAACAACAACGCACACTACAACACTCCCGACTTAACTACATCACTCCGTTCGACCACCCACTTCTGGTCGCGAACACCAAGCTCAACCGCGCTCTAGCATTTGTAGTACGTGAGCAGTTCCCCGAAGCTGTGTCCGTGGCGTTGTGAGACAAGGTGACGAACGAAAGATTAGCGGTTGAGTAGTGTTGATGGTAGTTAGCGGTGTATACACTAGGTGGCCAAAACTGAGGTTGCGCGCGGTGGGAGGTTGCTGGTGAAACCACAGGAGTCTGCGGGCGCGCGCAACCTCAGTTTTGGCCACCTACTGTAAACTACGGAAACTACCTACTCATTATTCTAGTTTACTAGAATTATTACATACTACATGGCCTTTTTTCTTTTGCTTTTTTTTGAATACTTTTTTTTTGTTTCGCCAACCGCTGTAAATAGCAGAGTCGTACGACTGGTACAATCCAACATCACATCGTTGATGATGTCGCCTTTCATTTGTCACGGGATATATATGTCTGACGATTCCAAGTAGTTTTTGCTCCATTCATGCTTTCGTATCCTGACATCAGGCGATCCCCCATCTGCTCGTCAAAGCCCCGCCGAAATGACCACTTCATCGCCCTCAATCCAAAATGTTGAGCACTCATCATGGCAGCAAAAGATCGAGCACCACGTTCTGCCGACAAACATCAACCGGTGATGACGCCCCCCGCCGGCCGCCTTCGGTTTTTCTCAACAAATGCAATGTGTGCTGCTGCCGCTGCTGCTCCGCGTACAGCAAGGCGTTGCGTGTCCAACGCAAATCCCACAAGCTTCACACACCGGAACTGTCCGAAGATCCCTATCCGCTGCATACACCTTTGCCTGCACCAAATCGGTCCACTGTCAGCTTAAGGTACATATGCCACTACTTGCTCAACCTTACCTTGAACCCATGCAAATCACTTGACATCTTCGCAACCCTCTCCCCCGTCTCCTTCGCGATATTCAGCAACACAAGCTCGCGGTCCTCTAGGGGCGCGTATTTGAGTATACTGCGCTCGAGATGCTTGAGCTGTTAGCGCAGTGTAGAGATGTCGGCGGTGAAGCCTTCGATTTCAAAGTCGCGGCGGCGTTTGAGGGATGCCGCTGGTGCCCCCGTTGGGACCGTTCGATGCTGACATTTGCAGGACAACGAGGAAGGAAGATAGTATCGAATGTGAGAGTTCAACTCCATATGTGGCCAGGTGTCAGTCTCAAGGTCTTGACGCAATGTCGGCTTGAAGGCTCGCCATCCAATCAGATGCCGTAGCCTGGGAGACGCCGTTGAAGTCGAGCCCGGTGTTGGATGGGCGCCACTGCCTGATGTGGGTTAGGGTTAGGTCCCAGGGTGGAAACAAAGCACGCGGCAGTGGCAGCAGCAGCAGCGAGAGAGCGTTCCATCACGTGGGTTCCATCACGTGTCGGTCCGCGGCCTTAATAAGTCTCGGTCCGACTGAATGCAGACTGCAGTTGCAGGAGGGCGACGCGTTCCCTCGCTCGCTCGCACTCAGCACATGGGAGGGGACCCAGGGGAAAGAGGACATACTTATCCCACAGCACTTTCACACTACATAAGTACTGTACACTCTTCCGACGCAAAGACATGGCTCCGGCGGCAACTTCAAGCGCCCCTGGCAGCGGCGGGGGCAGCAGCAGCAGTAGTAGTACTACTACAGTGAACGGGCGTAAGTCAAGCAGGCCCGGCCAACGTACGCTCGCCTCCCCGAATCCGCCGCCACCCAGCACACCGCAAAGCAATGGCGACGACGACCCATCCCCCAAACCTGGTAGCGGCCACCGACTCATTACCTCACGCACCTCCCGCCACGCGCTCCTCCTCCTCTTCGCATCTTCCCTACCGACCGTCGCGTCACACCTCTTCCAACTGCTAGGAACGTTGCACGGGATAGCAGCCGCGATCCTAGGACTCGGCAACCCCACCGACAACGGCGGCACCACAGGGAAAGTCTGGTATCCCCGCCCACCAGGCTCATCCCCACCTAACAACATCATCGTGCGGTTCTTCCGTCGCGTTTTCTCGCGGTACCGCCTCATCCCGATCCTGGTTGCAAACTACCTCGCCCGCCGGTTCCTTCTACCGTACATCGCGACAAAACTGGTCGAGAAATCGACGTTAAACGTCACGTCTGGGTCGATTGAGAACCCGCGGATGGATGGCGTGAGCATGGGGATGAAGTGCGAGGTGTCGGATGCGGGGCCGTTGCCTGCCACGCTGCGGTTTGATGGGCCGGTGTATATTGCGTTCGAGGACGATTTGCCTGATTCTGCGACGGCGACCGCTAGCGACGGCCGAGCGCACAAGCCGAACGTGGTGATTGCGGGGGAGATTCTAGGTATGCCGGATATGCAGGTCCGCGATGGGAAGGCGGCGATGGATACGACAGTCGAAGTACGCGTTACGAACGCTGCGGCGTTTGGCCGGTTCGCGACCATGATGCTCCAGTCCGCGTCCTTTGAGATGATCTTGATTGCGAAAGACGTGACGGTGCGCCCGTTTGATTCATCATTGCTCGCTATCAAAGGCGTATCCATGCGGAAAACCATCGCGCTGAAAGGCCTGGACGGCATGGAAGACATCACGATCCTCGAAGCGCGCACGGTCGGCGGCACACCCACCCACATGCAGCTCTCCATCGTCTGCGAAATCGGCAACCCCTCCGATCTCACCGTCAGCATGGGCGACGTGACCCTCGACCTCTACCACGACGGCTCACACCGCGTCGGTTCCGTGCAAATGCGCAACATGTCCCTCCAACCAGGCAAGAACACCATCACCGCAACCGCAACCTACGACCCCCGCACACCCGCAGAAACCCAATCCGGCCGTCGTCTCCTCGCAAACTATGTCACGGGGAAACAATCCCAGTGTACCATCCGTGGTTACCCCTCCCCATCCTCTACCCTGCTTCAACGCTCCCCCTTCATCCATTCCCCGCAATCCGCCACCCCGCGCGCGCCCCGACCGCCCTCAACACCTTTCCCTTACCTCCAACCCGCCCTCTCCTCGCTAGCGGTAACATCCACCCTCCCTGGGGAAACTCGAAAAATGATCGTACGCACGCAGTTGGTCGTCGACCCCTTTCGGTTCTTCTACCTCGCCGCGACCATGCAATCCGCCGCCCGGCTTGTGTTATTCAACCCGCTCGACGCGCCTGTCACCGTTCTGTGGATGAAGGGGAACGTCACCTGCCGCGGGGAACACCTTGGCACGCTCGACGAAGATCTAGACAAGGCCGGGAAAGCGGTGGTTATCCCGCCTGGACAGACCGTGACGACCCATACGATGGATATGCGGCTGCTGATTTCCGCAAAGGCTGTTGGAGCGGTCGTCTCGGCGGGATGGGCGGGGAGGATGGGTGCCGCCGGAGCCGCTGCGGGGGGCACCGGGAAGCAGCAGGGGCTGTTGATGCCCCCTCTGAGCCCGTCGTCGTCGTCGTTGTCGTCAGCGGTGAATGGCGTCCGTGCCCCAGCAGCGTTACAGCATTTCAACGCGCAGTTCATGCACACCCGGTCGCATTCCGAACCACATATGCAACGGCCACCACCACCGCAGATGGCGGGTCCGAAACGCGCCCCGGTGAGGGAGTTGCAGGCTGCGAGTGGGAGTGGGAGTGCGAGTGGGAAGGCGAGTGCGAGTGGGAAGGCGAGATCAACCGCCCCCGCGTCACCAATTCCCCCGTCAACTACAGCACCGCAACCCCGCGAAAAATCCCGTACCTCCCTCGACCTGTTCACCCCCTCCCCCTCCCCGCTCTCCTCCTCCCGCTCCGACATCGGCGACGACGACGAGATCGAAGTCGCCTACCTCTCCCATTCACGGCTATCCGACACTCCCGAACGGAGGGAGAGCAAGCAGCATCTGACGCTGTTTGAGGTGGATGTCGAGTCCACGCTCGGGTGTAAGGTCGGCGAGTATGTGGTCGAGTTGGATTATAGGCAGACGGGGGTGCCCGTGGGGTTCTCGTGAGGCGGGTGCTAGAGGCCGCATTGGTGGAGGTGTACAAACAGTATACTGGGTGCCACGTACCCCCATCAGGCGTGTGCGTCATCAACCCGTGCAGCGGCCACCGTTTCTATGTGTTTTCCCCCCCACCTTTTACCGCGCGAGTTTGGCAAACGCCCGAATTCGCTTTTGATATCCCCCCCCCTCCCCCCCCCCCCCCCCCCATTCATTCTCGCATTCATCGCATTACTTTATCGTTCATGATTGTATGATTCTACACTGATAATAACTCGGCAGACTTCATATGCAAAGCGTCTCGTCCCTCCCTATTCCCCCAATTGGAACTTTTTCGTCGGAAAACTCGAATGGGAAGAATCGTAGGAAGGGGACATCCCAAAACTTGAGTGTGTTTACACGGGGGAATCGAACAAAGGAGTTCTGCTGCCGGTTGATGAAAACCTCCTGGATGCCGTCGCGGCGAGTCCCCTGAACGGCAATGAGGGAGTCGTAGAGCTCAGCGACGTCGAGATTCGGCGTGTGTTTGATGCGGGGATCGTCGATAACGCGGTAGGCGCCTTGTTCGAATATGATACGGTGTCCACAATCCGCCGTCGGCAGGTGGTACTGGGATTGCTCTTGGGAACCAGCGACCGTCCGCTCCGATCCATCTTCGATTTGTGTACACGCCACGGCCCCCATCGCTCATCAGGCGCGCAGGAACCACGTCGCTGCCTCAGCCCGCCCAAGCACGAACCCCACAGCCCTGCCAAAAAAAGTTCAATGTCCATACGTCACATACAACAACCATCCTCATCAATGGTCATCTCCCTCTCTCTCGGAAACTGTTCGCCCAAATTCCCCACATTTCATGAATTCCCCATCCCAGTCGATCGCTCATGAATTCTTCTTCGAGCAATTGCTTTTGCTTTTCTCGGAAATCCCTCTGGAGTCGTGGGTCATCTCCTTCGATGCCGATACCCTGGGAAAAGATGAGAGCCCCGATTGAATCAGGAAATTTGTACCGTGCCTCTGTACACAGCGATACATCCTTTGAGAGCATACCATTTGTGCCGCCTTGGCCTCAATGACATAGTGGTTGTCGCAGTTTGGGCAAGACTCGTCTTCCTCCTCGTAGTTGCTGGAAAAACAGACAACATCAGCCGGGGAATACTCAACCCTCAGAATGTCCCCACACCTTGGATATACCCACGACATGTCTTTCCGAAACACCTTCTTGCACTTCTTACATGCAAAGCACATTTCAAGCGTTTTCCTATGTGTGGGAAACAAGTCGGAAGAATCCCGTAGCAAAGCTGTCACATGAAAAACACGGGCATCCATACCGTCTCGCCCAACATCCCATCACATCCCAATCTCAAACCAAACAAACAAAACCTTCTCCGCAACTGCCTTGAACCCCGTCTCAACCTCCCCGCTCTCCCACCTCCCCAAAACCTCATCTATCGACAACCACACCAACCCATAAAGCTCCGCCACCGCCCTCGCCAGCCTCGTCTTCCCCGCCCTTGGTCGCGGATATTCGGGCGAAAGGCATTCGGGCGCATAAGAGACGGTGGATTTGGGCACACTCCGGCGCCTTCCTCCATCAGAAGTCGCCCGCTCCCACGGCCCTCGCTATCCCGATCGAGGATCGCGGGATGCCGACCCCACTCATCCGCGCCCAGTCCAGTTTTCCTCAATACCCCAAGTTATGGTCAGAAACCTCAGCGTGACATTCTGGACAGTCGAACCATTTCTTGCAGCATGGCGCACGGACAGCGACCTGTGCGTTCAGTACGTGTTTGCCTGTGATTGGAGATGTTCCGTCAGAAGTTGGACTTTTGCGGGGTTGCAAGAAGAGAAACGCTTGAGGAGCGGCGAAGGGACTTCCACATGGGTGAGTTAGGGGGAGCGTTGAGAGAGAGAGAGGTATCTGTAGTATCGGTAGCTGATTCCTGGCCGTGAGAATGGCCGGGTTTGCGAGCGATGATGCTGTGCAAATGGCGAGATCCCGGGTTGATTAATTTCGGTTGGCTGTATGTATATAGTTAATCCAATGCAGTCAATGTTGTGCTCTAGAGAGACATACCTCAATTTCAAACTATGGAACTCAAACAAAAGTACAGTACTCAAGAAAAAATGGGTAATTGGTTGGATACAAAAGGAGCAGAAAGTCCAGAAGTGGAAGCATGCAGCACAGCCCACTCCTATCTACTAATGTGTAGACGCCGTTTGTCGGTGACTAGACGTTTACTACTCTGCAAAAATGGATGTGTGGCACCTTCTACAACCTGGTATTGGGGAAAGTTTTCAAGGTCTGTCGGATGCCGAGATCGGCCATGATCTCTTCACTGCCGCCGAGGATGGCTCCGAATTTGTTTCGTGCTTGGAAGTTTTCGATGATTCGGCCCATGCCGCCCTGATTTGAGAAAACCATTAGAACGAAACAATCGAACGATGGACGTGACGATACCCAGTGAACCCACCTTCGTGATCGCCCGTCCACCAAAGATCTGCACAGCATTATCCGAGACCCTCTGCGTCATCCGCGTAGCATTGTACTTGAGCAACGCAATGGTACCCGCCAAATGCAGCGACTGCTCCTTATACGACATCTTTGTCATCTGATACGTGATAGATTCCAGCCACCCCTGCGTCGCCTCAACGCCCGCAACCATCTCCGCCAGCTTGAACCGAATGACAGGTTGCTCAATCAACGCCTTCCCAAACACCTTGCGCTGGTTCGCCCACTTGAAGCACTCCTCAGTGACAAGCCGGGCCGCACGCGCACATCCAACGACCATAGACCAACGCTCATGGTTGAAGTTGGCCATGATCACTTGGAACCCTTTGTTTTCGCCGCCGATGAGGTTCTCGACGGGGACTTTGACGTTGTCGAAGGTGACGTAGGCGGTTCCGGCGCTGGCGGTGCCGCTGGTTTTGATGATTTTGGTGCTGACGCCTTCGGTGCGCTCGATTAGGAGCATAGAGATGCCGCCCATGCCGGGGCCGCCTGTTCGGACGGCAGTGGTGAAGTAGTCGGAGAACGTGCCGTTTGTGATCTGCAGTGGAGCGCGTTAATCAGACAACAATCCCAGGATACATTTCTATCAAGGAGAAAGGAAAATACACATACCCATTTCTTGACACCGTTCACAATGAAATGCTTTCCATCAGCCGTCTTCACAGCAGTAGTGGCCAACCCAGCAACATCACTTCCAACGGTCGGCTCAGAGATCGCCAAGCAAATACGCTTGTTCCCCATCAGAACCTCCGGAATAATCTTCTCCTTCATCCAGTTGGGTCCAAACACCATAACAGGTGGCAGCCCAATAACCATCCCAGAAGCCAATCCCTCGGCGTACCCATAGATTCCCAACCTGGTCAGTTCCTCGTGTCCAACCAGTTCGTGGAAATAGTCGAACTCGTCAGGTGAGACGCCTCCTGGGAGTTTAGGCACAAGCTTCAAGTGGGGTCCAGGTCCCATACGAGTAGCGAGAATGCCCGCCTGTCCCATCTTTTGGTAAATTTCGAGATCGGGGGCTTCGCCCATTGCGTCTGCTGAGGCTGCGTCGGGCAGGAGCTCCTCGTCGTAGAACTTCCGCAGGGCTTGGCGGAATTTCACATGGGATTCCCTATCATAGGACCAGATCAGGAACGCTCCCCATCAATCGCAACGGAAAACCAAAACCTTACTTGTAATAAGGCGACGGCCGCCCCTGAACAAACGGCGACTCGGCATAAGGGACCTTGCTGAACTCGCCTGACCGCTGCAGCTGAAGCTTGGGCATCTCGCCTATGATCTGGCCAATGATGTAGCGTGGGCCGAACTTCTCCATAACCTCATGCCTGTGGAGGCCATAGAATTGTTCCGTGGCTTCCTTTCCGGCGACTTGCAAAAGGACGCCTTCACCGCCTGGGTGCAGGCCTACAAATTTTGTGATGCTGGAATGAGACGGGGAGGGGGAGAAGATGAGGACACGGTCATTGTGGCGTTCGATGGCCGTATTCCAAGACTTACTCATAGACATAGCTGTCCACGATTATCCACAGATCCTTCTCCGTGTTGTGTTTGGCAACTTCCTCGCGTGTCAGCTCGCGTAATGTTTTGGTGCCCGCCATGACTCGTTTTCGACAATTATAGTGGGTTTCGTTGAGAATGCGATACAGGCTTGAACGACGAAGGGGGGCTCGATTGCTGGTGGTTGTTTATATGAATGGTTGCGAGGTGTAGGCGGCTGAACGCTGTTTATGTCCGCGTTGTGAGAGTGCTGGAGTGCTGAGCGTTGCGAGCGGAAGTTGCCGGTCATAATCGATTCAGCCGAGGGTCAACGCAGAAGCGGAGGCGCCGTCAAAACACAAGCGACACATGACACTCGTGGCATGCGGACGCGTTGGATGAGTATACGGCTGCGCGTCCCACATCGGTCCCACATGTTGTGTGGCCACATCGGGACGACCGCATTGGGTCAAGGACTGGCCAGACGGCTCCAGACAGCACCAGCCAGACACTGCAGATTGGCCAATCAAATCGAGTGGCCCGTTTGCATGGAGCGCGATACTTTTTGCAAGTGGTTGTCTTGGGCGTAAGCGTTAGGAGGAGGCGAGGGTGAGGACGCGCGAACGGCAGCACGGAGTTCATCAGGGTTGCTTGCCCGGCTGGCTGAGCGCTGCGGATAGACAGACTTCCTTGCAAACACAGAACGACAGACAACAGAAGTGCCACCAAATCCAGTTTCCCTTGGGAACGTACAGTACAGTATAAGGGGCATGCAAAGGGACGCCGGCAGGTTGTCGCACCTCAACCTGTCTATCCCCAAGTCGCGGCGGTGGTGCTGGGAAAACCCCGCTACCCCAACCACCCCAACAACCACCACGACAACAGCCGTAGCGTTCGGAACCACAGTAGTAACCTCCCCAAGCCGCCCACCCACCGGCCGTCCCTCCACCACCACAACCCCATCCTCCAGCAAAGGCCGCTCAAGCACCCCTCACCACCACCACACTCCCACAACCACGACCACCACCGCGGGTTGTGCAAGTTACGGTGGGGCTGGTGGCGAGGTTGCCGGAGGATTTGTATGATATGCTGGTGAGGCATCCGTTCGATGCCGGGATTTATGATGTTGTTATGGGAGAGGGGGGGGGAGGACGGGGGGAGGCGGGTGAGAGCGGAATGGAGTGGGCGGAGGCGGAGGCTGACCTGGTCCATTCCGACATTGCAGGTCCCAACGGAGCTTCGGTCCGGCCAAACGGCGCGTTCCTTCAGGAGGTCGTTCGTGGGTTCCGCGGAAAGAATACGACCATCTGGAGGATTCCGGCAGGTAAGAACGAAGGCTTCTGGAAAGCGTTGCAGTGTACTTCCAAGCAACTGACGAATCACATGACAATCAATACGGGACACAGGCACGGACCTTCCTCCGGATCTAGTGCTTCTCCACGAGCACACAGACCACCACTCGATACAGTGCATGCGGCCCATGACCCTTTTCCGAGCTGAACAAAACAATCACGGCGTTTGTGCAGAAGCATGGGGAGAGGATGACAAAGGATGAGTTTTGCGAGAAGTACCCTTTCACGGTGTAGAGTAAAGTAAGAAAGGGGAGGGATGGGAAGTGAAGGCAATTGAGGGTGGGAGGGAATGCATGAGGCTGATATCTCGCGACCGCAATCAAGGTGCGAAATGGAAAACTGATCAGGCGTAGGATACCGCGAAATCACCAGATAGAGTAGATAGCGATCGCTTGGAACTGAATCCCAATGGAGTCCGCCCACCCGTCCGCCTTCATCATTGGCAAGCTACATTTATGTCATCGGGGAGGTCGGTGTAGCCAGATGTAGATTGGGCGACCAGCATTCGGCGCAGAGAAATCTTGGAATATGATGAATTGTCTCAAGTCCGCACCCACCATGAGAGGGAGAGAGGAAAATCTTCACATGACCGCGAAGAAATCGAAACGGAAAGCAAATGCCAATATACATTATACGCCCTACGCGAACATCCTACAAATTTACCCTAAGAAAACCTGCTAACATTTTTCGTCGCCCCACTGCCTCCCAACAATTTTGCGATATCGCCAAAAACGCTCGCGCCCACGCCAGCCTGCCTTTCATTCGCCCCACATCTCGCTCTCCGCTCCGCAACATCCAAAGGCGTCTCTCCCGCCGAATCGACCGCTTGCCGGTCACCGCCCCACGCCAGCAACGTCTGCGCGGCGTTCCGGTGTCCGTTGACGACCGCCCAATGGAGCGCTGTCCGCCTCCATTCGTCACGGAGCTCGAGAAACAACTCGGGTTTGGGGGATTTGGAGAGGAGGAGTTCGAGGATGGATGATGGGGCTCCTGCGCGGGCGGCGTAGTGGAGTGGAGATTGGCCGGAGGTGTCTTGGCGAAGGAAGAGGGATACCGTGCCTTTCTTGTTGCTTGGTTTGTATGCGTCATTCAGGACCGAGACGAGAGGGAGGCTCCCGCTTTGACAGGCGAGATGGAACGGTGTCCGTCCGTGTGTGTCGATCGCTCCTGGATTTGCGCCAGCTTCCAAGAGATATCGCGCTGTGTCTACATGTCCGTTCAAGCATGCGCAATGTAGGGGTGTAGCGAGGCGAAGGTTGTCCTGTGCCGCGCCACCTCCTGGATCGACTCCCCGTTTTTGTACGAAGAATCGTACAATGGCTGTCGCACCAGCGCCAGCAGCTGAGAATATATCGGTAATCTTGATTGTCCTGCCCTCATCCGATATCTCACGCAATTGCGATTGAGAGTCTGGGTCCAGGCTTCCGAAGCACTCTTGTATATATCGCGCGAAACTCCCCAAAACCGGCCTCTTCAGCAACTCTGCCGGTGCAAGCTGACCCAAAAGCTCTCCAAATGTGCCATCGGATTCTTCTTTTGAAGTTTGTTGAGATTTCAAGCCGCCAGCTACATTTGCCAATTCTTTGCATATCCGCAACGCTGTGAGGGAATCGCCTCCATGTTCCTGGAAATGCGCTAGGTTCCCCAGTCGAGCTGAAGCCGCAAATCCCATTTCTTTTTTCCACACCTTCTCGATCGCAGCAGTCCACCCTCCGTATGTCTCCTCATTGTCAATCGATTCACCGTTCAGAAACGGCAGAGGCTGTTTGGCCTGACTCGTTCTTGCGATTTTGCCCGTGCTTGTTTGCGGTAACTCTTTAACAAAGATGAATCGAGAGGGAATCATATGCCGCGGAAGACGTTCTGCGCTCAGCGTCCGGAGCAACTCAATCAACATGCGCTGATGATGATCGTCGGTAAAGATTCCTTCGGCGTCTTGAGGTACGCAGAATGCCACAAGCTGTTTCGTCTCTTGATGTAAAACTACTGCCGCTTGCGACAGCAGAATATCCGTCGCACACGCAAGCAAAGCGACCTCGCATTCTTCGAGATCTACGCGCTGCCCTGAGATTTTTACTTGATGGTCCAACCTTCCCAACAATCTCATGTGGTCTTTCCCGTCCTGCGAGAAGACCTTGACCACATCTCCTGTACGGAAGCAGCGTCCAAGTGTAGGGTGATGTATGAATTTCTTCTGGGTGAGCTCTGATCGATTCAGGTAGCCGACGCCTACTTGCTTCCCAGCAATCCAGAGCTCTCCGGTGCTTTCTTTCCCAGGTGTGACGGCGAGCATGGCGGCAGGGTCGGTGTCAGCAAGCATCTCTAGCTCTCCGTTGTTTGTCATGACGAGGAGGGTGTTTCCTTCTAATGCTTCGCCAATCAATTTGCGCGACGCCGCGTCTCGAACGATGGCATAGGCTTGATATACACAGCATTCCGTGACACCATAAGTGTTGATGAGCCGTGCCGCATCGGCCCAGACCCTCACAGTTTCCAGCGACATCGGTTCCCCGCCTAATGCTATCGTGCGAAGCGCTGGTAAGTCTTTCGGCCCAAGCTTGTCGTGCAAGATAGTGTTGAACAGAGACGGTGTCGTAAGGACATGCGTTGCCCCTGTCTCCTTCAGGCACTCTCCCAGCATCGTGAAGATGGTTTGCCGATCAGCGCTCGCTACAGTTGCACCTATGCTCCAGCTGGCCATGAAGTCCCCATATGATGGATCGAAGCTCGGTGCGGACGCCACAAAGCATATGCTGTCGGACGTAACCTGATGTGCTACATTTTTCGCGCTGCAATACGATGCTAATGCGCCGTGTGTAGATATACAGCCTGAGGCAAAAGCGTTAGGTATGGCCACAGCATGATGACACAAGCTAGATTTCACGTACCTTTCGGCCTGCCTGTAGAGCCGCTGGTCATGTAAATGTGGGAAACGTCTTCTGACTTCCGAAGACCAACGGAAAACGAGCCCATGGCGTCGGGACGTTCTCTTTCCCATGTTTGAGTTGCCTTTACTGATTCGCTCACAGTGATTTGGCCCGGACCCTGCCACCCTCCATTCCCCAGACTTCTTTCAGCGTTGTGGCACTGCTGTATTGCGCTAGCCAATGCTTTGTATGCGTCGTCCTGTGCAACAATCAGGTCCGGCGACACGTCCTGGATCACCAGAGGCAGTCGGGGATCTGCGGGATCCATCGGGACCATCGCTACATACGTTCGCCTTTTCTTAGTTCAAAATCCAGTTCAAGTAACAATATGAGGAGAGATCAAGGCACTCACCCGTTGCCGGTTCCGTCAGCAGAACAGCGAGATGGATCATGGGCAGCATCGGTCCCTCCTGGACTAGCACGCCGACTGCCCTTCACAAAGAACGAACGGTGAGCAAAGGAACAGAGAGAGAGGACACGTAGCTTGCTTTCTGCGACGCTTACTTTTCGGTATGGCAGAACCTCCCTTCTTCGAGCAAGCAACCGAACGCAGTCTTTCACCGAAGACTTTGGCCAACCCCACAGCCGTCTTCCACACCTCGGCATATGTGAACCTCTGGACCGCTGCTCCTCGAGCCGCACCGTAGTATATGAGAGCACATGCCTGAGGTTGCCGGGCTACTTGCTCCGCAATTCTGGCCCCTACAAACTCCTCTCGATCCCTTTCGTGCTCTGAAGCTAGGGCGGCCGGCGCCATAGTATGTGCTTCCAGTCGACTTGTACGGAGGTAACAGTGTGGGACCCAATTTCTGCAAAGCGTGAGTTGCTTGCCAGCACACGCCCAGAAAGACCAGTAACTTGGCAACTGGACCTGCTCAAACAGCAGAACGTACTGTACAGTACCACGACAAAAGTTTTCGGAACGCACCAGTAAAGCAGCCTCCTCCTCGTCCAGAGCACACTGCAAACTTGCTTCCCAGGAAATTATCTACATCTATAGAAGCAACCTATATTCTAAATAGATACATATCCTTCAGAACTTGATATTCGGGTATATTGAGACGAATCGCCACGGTCGTTCATGAACATCGAGAGCATGATGCTGAGCGCGATATTATGCCGGGCGTTAAGAAGCGTCTGAGGATCATCGGCTCAGACGTCTGTAATCTCACCCACGGCATTGCGAACAATAGCATCCGCCATCATGCATACAAACAGCCCACAGTTGACACTGTCCGTTTGCTGGGGTCTTGGGATCGTCCTTACTTGGGGCGCCGTGGGACCGTGGAGGTTGGCGCGGCGTTGGAATACCAGTTCCAGGCGACGGCGCAAATAGTATCGATCTTATTCCGGTATGCCTGGCTGTCCTGTGTGCGAGGGTTGAAAATGGACGGCATTAGATAAATCGATTCCCGGTGAGACATTGAGTGAGAGAGTTTCATCGAGTTGCATACTTATTTATCACTTGATCGTTCAACCAGCTTCTCGGATTGAGGCATCTCCAAACGCTCTCCCTCTGGATACTCGACAACCCTTCCGGGATTTTGATGTCGCTACCTCGGCGGAGACGTTTGTTCTCGGGCATCTTGTCGACCTCCACAACTTGCTGAAGGAACCTGAGATTTGCGTCACTAACCTTTGGCCACGGGTGGGAGTTTGTTCGTCCACCGGATCCATCTCTGTTTGTCCGTCGCGGGGATCGGGCGCAGTTTGTTCATCGCGAGGGACGGCGCTGTTGGGGGCGGGCGCTGGAAGCACCGACGAGCACGGCGACGACATTCCTCTGGCATAGGTAATGGAGCTGACATGAAATTCGCGAAATGCTATTCAATTTTCATTCGAGACTCAAACATAAACAAAAACTGTATGGGTATATTTACATTCGCTGCTGGCCCTCCATCCCCGTCTCCTTCTCCTTACATTCCTCCTCCGACGCGCGCTCACGTTCAGCCAAGACCAGGGAGAGAAGATTAAGTCGATCGCCCCGCATCAAATCCAACTCCATGTTGAACCGTTCGACCATCCTCCGATGTATTTCCGATATAAAACTCTCGATCCCATCCTGCCATTCTTGGTCGGATTGATAATGGTTTCGATTGACTCGCAGATGTGCTTCTCGAACCACCTGTTCGAAGGGACAGAACAACAATGCGTGCATCATGGTGAGAGTGGAGGTGTCCATGGCGTTCATTGTATGCAGGATGCTCTTCATCATGGTGTACTTGTAATTCGAACGATCCCCAACGATTCCGGCGGCATTGAAAACGGATGATACGTTGATATCGATCGGCGTGTCCCTCATGAACTGACCACTGTGGTTTCGCTGACGAACTTGGGCAAGCTCCGATAGCCTGATTTTTTTCGCCTGTCGGGGTGGGATGTCGGGTGTGGGCACGGTCGCCGGGATGGTTGCGGGGATCGGTGCGGAGATCGTTGCAGGGATCATTGTGCGGATCGTTTCATGGATGGTTGCGGCAACGGTTGCGGCGACGGGTGCCGGGACAGATGTAGGTGGCCGCCCCAGGTCACTTTCACTGTGGACGAATATGATGTCGTTCGAGTCCTCGTCATTCGTGTCCGCCGCCATTTCTTCCAATTGATTTGCAGTGCACTGTTCCGCAACGGTCGCAGCTGCCCGTTTCCTCTTTTTACGGTTCGCAGGGGGATCGGCGTTCATAGGGGGGTCGGGGTTCGTGGCTCTGATGGGGATGATGGGATTCAGATTGGCGAAGCTCTTGATCGGAATGATGTTCGTGGCAGTGGCGGCGGGGATGTCGTTTGGGGCGGGCGCGGGAAGGATAGGAACGAATCTGGAAAAACGGTTCGTCGACGGAAACCCATTTGTCGACGGAGAGCCATTTGTCTGGCCGCCAAAAAAGCCAGGAAAGGCGGTTTGTCCGTACTGGAAAGTCGATAGGGTGGGGAACGGGTGCGGTTGGATTGCCGGGTGCGGTTGGATTGCCGTTTCGTTGTTTTTCGTCTCCGCCTTCTCCGCGGTTGCCGCCGCAACTGCCTTTGTCGCCTTCAAGACTCTTTGCTTGCCGCCTCCCCTCTTCGCAGCGACCTTAGCGGTCGCACTAAGCCTCAGTCCCGTTTCGGCATCCAGCCTGGCCCTCTCCGATGTTTCCGTCTCCCTCTCGGCCGCTCGCAATTCAGAGGCCACCCCTAATTCCCCCGCCTCCCTCTCCGCCACCTTAGTGGTCGCACTCAGCCTCAGTCCCGTTTCGGCATCCAGCCTGGCCCTCTTTGGTGTTTCCGTCTCCCTCTCGGCCGCTCGCAATTCAGAGACCACCCTTACTTCCCCCGCCTCCCTCTCCGCCACCTTAGTGGTCGCACTCAGCCTCAGTCCCGTTTCAGCATCCAACCTGGCCCTCTTTGGTGTTTCCGTCTCCCTCTCGGCCGCTCGCAATTCAGAGGCCACCCCTAATTCCCCCGCCTCCCTCTCCGCCACCTTAGTGGTCGCACTCAGCCTCAGTCCCGTTTCGGCATCCAGCCTGGCCCTCTTTGGTGTTTCCGTCTCCCTCTCGGCCGCTCGCAATTCAGCTGCCACCCTTAACTCCTGCGGCTCCCTCTCCGCCACCACCCTCAATTCAGCAGCTTCTTTCTCCCGTGCCGCGGCTTTCTCCCGTGCTCTCTGCTGCTTCCACAGGGCTACAATTTCTTCGTTGGTGGGGTCGTCGTCGGAGGAGGTCATGACCTGACCGAAGATGGGTGTTTCCTGATGATGCAAACAAGGGTGAGTGGAGGAGGATAAGGAAAGGAACCTGCGGGTCGCGAAAACACTCACGATGGTTGGGTTGTTAACAGTTGGTTGGGATGGTTGAGGTGGGAGGTTAGCGGTTGGTTGAAGGAGAACTTTGTCTTAAGACGGCGACCTTGTCTTGTGTCTTCTGCCAACATCGAAGAGCTGGCGAAAACGCCGTGATTTGATTGGCCCAACGTGTTTCAACGGGATCTTCGACCTGAGCTTTGATTGGACGATGATGTATGTGAGGTATGGCATCTAAGACATTCCGCCAATAGGAGCCCGCCAATAAGGGCCCGTCACCCGGTTCCCACCCGGCCAATCAACAGGGCCCAGGCGCCAAGGAGGGCCTCACCGGTGTGTGGCCCGTCGATTCGAGATGGAATGGGGTCAATATTTTTTTGTAAGTATGACCTTCAGAGAGTCTGTGCTTACATCCATTTTCACGAGGTTGCCATTCTGATCGACGCTACCAGCAACATCCGGGGTCTCTATACTTCACTCCTCCGAAGTGGATTGCGGAGCGGTACGAAACTCGGGAACTCGTATCCGGTCGTATTCAAGCGGGACGAAGCTTGTCGACCTTAGGGCACTCCAGCAACCACCATGGACCTCGACGCCAGGTCCCTCGAACGGATACCCCACTCAGCATCTACGGAGCTTGCCCGTCCTGCCAGGAATAGGCGCTCCAGACTGGTAGGCGCCTGACCATCCTTTCACTCTCTTGAAGCCCTCCTTCTTAGAACTTTCCTTCTAATAGGTACCGAAGGACCCGTGGGGAAAAGCTGCAATCATCTGGGCAACTGCTCAGCTCCTCATCATCGTTATCCTGGAGAGCATCGTTGCAAAGAAACATGCATCCAACAACTCCGATTTGGAAACAGTACTAAATCAAAACCCTGTCGCCGCGGATTTGATAGCGAATACCAGAGCCCTGACAGTCTACCATGTGCTCTTTATTGCGGCGCAAGTGTTTCAATGGGTGCTGGCCGTTGATGCGGTACGTGGGTTTCATATGGAGGCGCCTTTGGAAGTTGCCGTGGACTCAAGTACTACGCCGCCTCCATATAGGTGTACACATATTCCATGATCGAATTGGTCTCCACAACTTTATTCAATGTGGCATTGCTCGCATATTCGGGATTACAATACAAGCAGGCTACCGACATTGCTGACAAAATTGGCGCAACGGGACTGGTCCCGTCCGGAACGCTGGATACCCATTCAACAGCGACATTGGAAATAATAATCCTGTGTGCAATGGCGGTCTTTGTGACAGGATGGGTCGTTCTTTCGCAACGCCTGTACCGAGTATTTGGGTGGAGCATCTTCAAAGAGTTAGGAGCGGATATATCCGTGCGAAGTGAGTTCGGCTAACACGAAAACGTGTTGTTGTTTGTCATCCTGAAAACACATACTCACGCTTCCCATTGCAGATCGGCTCAAGCTTTACCACATCTATTTAATGCTTTTGAAGCTCGATGTGTTCTTCTTCATTGGGTTCGACGTTCAGTTTCTTGCCCTTGTCATCATGAGCGGCAGGGGCAGTGTATCGGAAAGCGAAAAATGGATCCACGGTCTCGTAGCAATTCCCTTTACGCTCGCTTTACTAGTGGTCGCATACCTGGCTGTGCGTCGTGAAAGCAAACTTCTGATGACAGCGACGCTACTGGGACTGGCAGGAGGAATCGGATACCTGATCTCAAAATTGGTGGATGTATCTCAGAATGGGTCAACATCAAAGTATTCTGGAAGCAGGCGGTCGCTGACGTTCTTCGGTAAGCGTGGAAAATCCTGCGACGCAAAAGACACGATACTCATGTTTCTCATGGTTCACAGAGGGGATAACATTGGCCCTTTGCGTAGCGACATTCGTCTTTGCGCTTCTGACGTTCAGAAATTTTGGGAAGGGACTGAAAGAACAGCGTAAGTGGAACTGGTGGATCTGAAGCGTTGCCCAACTGTTTTCCTCACAAGATATCCTAACAAATGCAGTAAGCAAAACGCGAAGAGGGGACCTGGAGCTCGAAAACCTACAATCAGGACAGCACGGACCCAAGGAAGCTCCTCAATACTCGCTGGAATAGAGAACGCCTGTGACCCAGGCAGTGGGGATGGAGCGTGCCTATATAGATTTTTGGAGTCGACAACCTATTCATTACTCAGACACACGACATGCATCGCACACATTCACCATGACATACGACATTTCAAGCAACCATTTTTGGCGCCCATCCATGGTACACACACAACCCCGTCTCATCCCCGCCTGCATCTGCTATTATGTCGCACGCCTATCATGCACCTACATTGCAGAAGTGCATAAGTAAAGGAGACACTCGGAAGATGAATATAAGGCTGTCAGTCGTCCGGCGCTGCGAAGGACTTCTTCACTTTTTCTTCACTTCAATACATCGTATCTCAGCCCGCTTACGCAGCCTTCTTTCATCTTTTGCGTGCAGATGTTACGGCTGTTACTCTGTTATTTCGGGCGGAAGGCTGTTATTGGCTGTTTCTCGCGCGGAAGGCTGTGATTGGCTGTTACTCACGCATGTAACCCTAACTGTAAGGTTATTTCGCAACGGCCTCCTGGGTAACAGAACAAAAGGCTCTGGTCAAAACGGATCCTCCCCAGGAGAAGCTAGAGAGCTGGCTTCTTTACGTGCCAACCATGCAAACGTTCCCACCACCACGAAGTTCCCACAACACCGTAAACAAACCTCATAACCATTTAAACGCTTCTCGTCACTTGGTGTCAACGACCCGCCTTCTGTGCGCTCCTTCTCCCGTCTTCGGTTGAAGTCCGGACACATAATTCCTTTCTTGACAGTTCGGCAGCTGCTTCCGGCGTGGGAGTTCTCAATACCTGTCCCATTTCCACAATGGACTCTGGCAACTTCTCCAGCCCAGCGGGCGACCCAGACCCCGCACTGCTCCAAAGCTTCAAAGCCGCTGCTCAAACCGTCACCCACCTCTACCGCGAGTCCATCAAATTGCAGCGGCGGGGTTACCTGGCCGGCTACGATCAGTGTCTTCAGGACCTCTGGCAGTTCGTGTCTGCCCAGCGATCCGCTGCGGGAGGGGCCAAGGAGAATCTGACTGTGACGGATTTGGTGTCTTTCTTTTCGGCCAAGCATGAGGCGCTGCGGAATGCTATTGAGCTGTCGTCCAGCGCGGATGGAGACGCACCATCGCAGCAGCAAACGCAGCAGCAGCAGCAGCAACAACAACGGCAGGAAGATGAGGGTCAGTCCCATCAGGCGCAACAACAGCAGCAGGGGCCACAAAGTGCAGATAGCATAGGGTCTGCACAGCAACCGACATCGCAAACGACTGCCGAACATCCACCACCACTTTCCCGGGAACCCTCACAACAACAGCAACAACAACCGCTCCAGCCCACGAACGTCATACCCTCCGCAGCAGCAACATCTCCGTACGATCAACAACCCCACCTCCCATCCTCCGACTTCACTTTCGTCCCGCCACCGTTGCATCCGCTATACGGCTCCTCCCAACAGCATGCAGGACAACAGCAGCAGCAGCGTCAAGCGATCGGCAGGCCATACGGACTCATCCCACCCCACCTCGCTCCCGCTATGCAAGGCATGACAACTCCACAGCAACAACAAGCCATGAACGGCTTTGGCAACGGTCTCCAACCTGCGAACGACCCGACATCTTTCCAGTCGCAGCAGGAGCTCGGCGGCGGGATCGGCGGGGCTGCGTCGCTGTTGAAGCGGCGATGGACACCGAGTGGGAATGGGATCGGGGGTGGAGCGAACGGCGGTGGAGGTGGTGGGGCTCCCAACGGTGGCGGGCCGATCTTCAACTGGACGGAACCGTTCGGCGCTGAGCCGGCGTACAAGCGGAGCAGGTGGCGAAGGGACGAGAAACAAGACCGGAACGATATGAGCGATTGAACGGGATGAGGATGCATATATCCGGTCTCTCTCGCCGCGCGTTACACAGTGTTTGCGATTGCTGGAGGTTGTCGTCGTCATGATGGGCGCGCTGGAAATCGTTTACCTGTCTTTGTGTATTATGTACCTGTATACCCCCTCCTTTGTGATGAGCCTGCCAAGTCCCAACCCCCCACCTTTTTGGTTCCCTGTGTTCATGCCCTCCTACCCGTCCCGCATGGCGCTTTTGTAAGTGTTGCTCGTATAGACGCCATGATGAGGGATGATATCCTTATCTGCAAATGTATAGTCGTTTACATAAATGGTCTCGCTTCGTACGAGAAGACTGATGCGGCACTTGATAACGCGTGTCTCTCCCATCAGTCTGTCTGACTGGCCGGGCGGGCGGCCTGCCCGGTCCACATCCATCCCCTTCTCGAGCAAGCAGCGTCCTGCACAGCGCTGCTCAGCCGCTCATCAAACCTGCAACAAGGCCTGCCTTCTACTGCATAGCCCTCCCCCCGAAGGCCCTCAAAAGAATGTACGTCAGGCAGGTCTCCCTCTCCCTCACGCACCGCTCTCGCCCACAGTGATCTACAACTAAATCTTACACCTCCCTCCCGTCCCTCACTCAAACAATAACAGCATCAACATCCCAACAATGACAACCACATCCGCCCTCGCCCCCCAAACCTCCCTATCCCACCCACCCTCAGCAACGAACGTAGTGTACTCGATCATTATCCCCACTTATAAGGAAGCAAAAAACTTGCCAACCGTTATTCCCAATATTTATGCTGCCTTGCAACAAAGCCCCTTTTTGAACCAGACGGAGGTTGTGGTTGTGGATGATAACTCACAGGATGGGACGATTCAAGTTTGTGATGAACTCATTAAGAGATTCGGTAAGGGCACCGAGCAGAGTCAGGGGCGAGCGGATGGCCGAGCGAAGCGAGGAGAATGCCTGAGGTTCTGGGCCGTAGGAGGATGGTGAGCGTAGCGCGCTCGCTGAACGTGGTGTCTGCGTCGCGAGCGGAGCGAGCAGGGTATCGTTCACCATCCATCTTCCGTCCAGCCATCCATCGCTTTGCGGTTGGGTATCGTTCAACCATACATCACTTCATTGTTCATCGCCTCGCTTCGCTCCGGTTTCTTGCCTCATCGTCCATCGCTTCGCTTTCGCTTCATCGTCCATCCGTCGCTGACATGTTTTGTTTTCATCCCTTAGGAGTTCCCGGAGGCTTCACAATCCGGCTGATCACACGCACAACCGACCGCGGCCTCTCCTCCGCCGTCCTCCGGGGCTTCTCCGACTCCCACGGCAGCTACCTCTTGTGCATGGACGCAGACGGCCAGCACCCCGCCCACGTCCTCCCGCGCCTCTTCACCGCCCTCCACACCTCCGAGTTCGTCATCGGCACCCGCAAGGGCGGCAAAGTCGACTCCTCCTGGGGCCTCGGGCGCACCATCATCTCCAAAGGCGCCGGCGCCCTCGTCATACCCTTAACGTCCATGAGCGACCCAATGAC